TATATATCCATAAGAGATTGCAGATTGCAGGTTTTCAGCAAAAGCCTTTGCTGAAAAATCCACACTTTTTTTTTTTTTAGCACACAAGGAATTATTTACTAGTATTCAGCTTAGTAAGAGTAGCACCTCCCCTTGCTATTTTCTCCTGCTATTTACCAGTGGCATCTATTTAATTTGCTTATTGCAGCTTCTTCCCATTATGGGATATGATGTGAACAGAAGGCTATCATGTCAACCGTACATCACAGAAGCAAAGTTTTCTAGTGGGAACAATTGACATTCAGATAATCATGTTAATATCTCATACATTGTGCTACTTCCTTGTTATATCTAAAGACACGTTTACAGAACAGCAGGCAGTATTATTTAAAAATAAGTCCATAATGATATTTTTCATGAGGCCAGATATAGGGTGAAAAATCAGGATATTAAAGCTACCCCCCTTCCCCCGCTAAATCAAAAGCTATATATTATTTTCTTGGATGGCAGCAGAAAATGCACACAAAGAGACAAAAAGGGTTGACCATTGATGCTGAAGATGCAATTTCTATTTTTGGAGCTGCTAAAGTCTCTTCTTTGATCTATCTTTCCATTCTCCTCCGCATCGCCCATTCTCTGGGTCTCTTTTCCTGTTTTGTTTTTTGTCAATGACCTTTCTTCAGTCCAACTCAGCATCTAATGGCCTGAAGAGGGCTTCTTCACATGACAGAAAGCTTTAGATTTAAGATTTTACCCCCTTCTTCATTAGAGGGGAAAGTGAACAGCCTCTATGCACTGGGTGTTAATGAATGTGAAGGGAGATTTTTTTATTATTTTTTTTGGTATGTGTTTTACACATTATGTTCTTGACTCCTCAAGGTGCTACAATAAATTGCTGCGCTTCATTTACAAGGAGTGATAACAGCAGCAAAATGAGGATCTGGCAGCAAATTACTTTTCAGTTCACCCTGGGTCAGGCTGCTGGGGCTAATGAGAAGAGGTGCTCTAATTTTAAATTCCTCCTCGACCAAGCTATTCTCACATTAATGTTCACTGCTGTAAATTGTAAAGTCAAATGAAGGAGCACTGTTGAAAATTAACCAGTATTTTTGTCCTTTAAGTACCCAATAGAACATATTTTGGCTCCTGAGACTGGTAGTTATTAAAGGCAACTCTGACTGCTGCAACAGAGGGTGCCAAGCATAGGTACCCTCACTCAAAACGGTAAAGTACAACCTCTTTTTTTAAAATAAATAAATAAATGAATGAATAAATTAAAAAAAAAATTGGCCAACAAAAGTGATGCAGGCCCTCAACAAGATTATAATATAGCCCAGAAGAGGAGGGTGTTCGATAAGCAGCCCTATTATGTATCCATTTAACAAGACACTGTACACCGGCATTAAAAGTCATGTGGAATTAGGCTCCCCGTTTACGGCTGCTGCATGTTTAATGAACTGCAATTGTGTATCTGGAGGGACTTTGTCTGTCGAAGCCCAAAGCAGGATTTGAGTAACTAATGAGAAACGAATGCAGCACCTGCTTCTCCTATCAAATATCTTGCTAATCCCACATTTGCCATTTAGCCAAATCAAACACGCTACGCATGGGGCATGGGGAGAGGAGTGGACAGCACATGCTCTTCACAGTGACTTCAGCTTCCTCCTCCATCCAGGCTTTGGACAATGAACATAATAATAATAATAATAAGTCCATGTCATTGACACAGAATTCACTTGGCTAAGGATGTTCCTGGTCCTCTCTGGTAGAGTCTCCCATGGTACTGCAATGTAAAATACAAATTAACCACACTATCCTAGTCTAGTCATTGTAATCAGTTATGTTTTCATGTGTACATTACTGATATATAAGGTTGTTGTAGTTCTTGTGTGTGGCTTAATTGCTTGTTTTTGCATATCTTGTGTGATTGATGATGTTCTAGAAAATCTTTTCCCCTAAAGGAGACTTTCTAAATTACTTTGTTTAGATGCTAATGATTGTATTTCATTAGTGGCCCTCTCATCCAGAATCATCTTTAAATGAATGAATATGCCATAATTAAAAATCTGAATTATGAATTACTTTGAATGGAGACAACATTGTCCCGATTTCCCACTGCGACTCAGTGTTATTTCAATTATGTAAATATGTTTAATCATTCCCCTTTTGTTTTTCTAATTATTTAATATTAATGTTGCTTTACCCCTTTATTGCTACCAGAAGAGATATGGCATCTTAAATGAGAGTACTTAGACAAGTGATGCACAGATGACAAGATTAAAGCAGACATTTATCAGAATGCATAACCCATTTCAAAAACAAACATGCTATTAACGTTCATACTAATATGGCAACACTAGCAGTAATTGCACTTCATGCATGTTTTGTCTGTGTAAACCTAATATATTCACAATGAACAATTGCAAATCATTATCCTTTTTCTTATCAACAGCAAAATCCATTTGAGAAAGTTGACAATTGCTGAAGATACCAGTCCTCCACACAAAAAAGGATTTCCCCCCTCCCCCCGCATCACGACTAATCAGCACAGAGTGTATTACTAAGGAAAATTAGCAGCTGGACATAAATTAGTGCTTTTTCATGCCCAAATTCAATTCCCCTAGCAGGTTATTCAAATCTATTTCTCCACCTGAGAAAGAAGGCTTGCTCCTCTTCAGCCTGAACTGTTCTTGAATCAACACACTATGCGAAATTGGATACAAAAGATTGTCATGCTTGGACACACAACGTTTCGGAAGTCCCCGTAAATAAAAGTGATGCATAAAGTTTACTAGGTTATGTATGCAGGGCCATGAAATCTGGGGGAACATTTAATAAGGCACAGGAAGGCACCATACTAAATAAATACTGAAAAGTATCTGTATGAAGGTATAGCTATTAACATTTAGAAATAGTTTGGGTTTCTAACTGATGCAGTTTCATTGATACAGTCCTACTTAGAAATTGTAAAACAGACACTGTAAATAAGACTGAAGAACTGGGGCAAAAACACAAAAAAACCATGCTTGGATTAAGTGCTTTAAAGTTCACAACAGCACCAAAGGACGTCTGGATGAGCGCTAAATGATAAAATGTGCTTTGGAATCCTTCAGAACACAAAACACCCAGAAGTATATAAAATCATTCTGCCATCTTTACCGATAAATAAACTGCACTACAGTACTTGTGTAAAATAAGCTGTAAATGGTTGGGAAAGTTGTTCAAAAACTCAGAAGCAACAATACTTGGGTTCAGCAGTCAGAAAATTGTATGCCAATGGCCGGATAAAACAGAAACGAGGATTAACACAAGTATGATTTGCACAGCACCCCATCTGAGAGTGGTATTTGCTTCGATTAAACAGCTAATGTCTAAATTACAATCTACCACATGTCAGCGGAGGAAATGTTGCTGTTGCTTCACAGCAGCTAAGACAATGATTATTACATTTCTATTTATTTTCATTTGCCAAAAGAAATTGAGTGGTATGCTCCTAATCTGCCCCACCAGCACAAGGATTATGGTTAGCACAGTGCGATTTCCCCTTCTCCATCTCCAGCACACGCCCCACAGCTCAGATCTGCTCTGGGGGGTTGGGGGAACCCTTAGAACAGATTTAAGGGGCACATTTTTGAGAGGGTGGGGGTGGAAGTTCATGCATTACTGCTTACTTAGTGCTATGATGAATACAACCCTCTTTTTTTACCAATTTCCCTATACAGGGCTGCCTTCAGGTGTCTTCTAAAGGTTGTATAGTTACTTATCTCCTTGGCTCAGGGATCGCATAACTCTTTACCCTTAATCATTTCTCTTATGAAAATAGTGTCGCCCTAAGCAGGACATCCTGGAATCAAATCAGAAACTAGGACAGCTTTCTGTCCCTGGAAAATAGGGACACCTGGAGGGTCTGCATAAACGCTTACCTGGAGCAAACGTAATTCAACTCAGTGGGCCCTAATTACAAGAAAACATGCAAAATATTTCACCTTGAACTTGCCACCCCAAAGTCTCATGGTGTAAAATCCTGTACAGTCATAACTTGGGTTGAAGTAGCTTCAGGATAAGTATTTTCGGGTTGCGCGCTGCGGCGACCCGGAAGTAACGAAGCACGTTACTTCCGGGTTTCGCCGCTCGCACATGCACAGACGGTCAAAATGATGTCACGTGCATGTGCAGAAGCGGCAAATTGTGACCCGCGCATGCACAGACGCACAGACACGGGTTGCGTTCGCTTCTGGATGTGAACAGGGCTCCGGAATGGATCCCATTCGCATCCAGAGGTACCACTGTATTTGGGAAGAAGACACTTTCTGATTCCTCTCACTCCTCCAGTTTAGACAGAACATAACTTGGAGTTTAGCCAAGATATTGGTTAAGTTGATTGATATATAATTTGAAGGCAAAACTCTATTCCCTTTTTTAGTGGATTGGGATTTACTGTAGTTGAGCCTCAGCCTTGTGGTGTAATCCCAGAGGGGTTTATTCAATCAAAGAGTTTTGCTATTGCACAAGTACCAGTCAAATTATGTTTGAACACTTCACAGGGGGCAGATGCTGTCTTCCCAGGTGCCTCTTTACTAGACAGTAGAGTAATTAGCTCTCCCACTTCTCCAAAAGTAACTGTAGGCCATGGTCTGAGAAGAGAGAGATCACTAACTAACCACTGAGGTTTAATTCCATGGTCAAATGATATCTTGTACTGGTATAAATGTTGCTGCTCCCTCTCAGACTTCGACAAATTAGTAGACAAAGGGCTGCGGTTCCATCAGCAGCCTGCATTTACTAGCTTTCAAAAACTTGTACATTCTTTTAATTGGAGAGCAGATTCAGACCAAATACGCTTTTGGGTGGACAAACATTTCTTTTTAAAACCCCTGAAAACTTTGTAATAGTTTAGAATTTGAGCTCAGGGGCACACCTTTTATATACAGTTAGAAATGTCTTGTTTTTTTCCAACTTAGGCTGGTTTTTCCAAGAATATTAAAGGGAAAAAAATACGCTTCTTTTTTGTGGGGGGTGGGATGGGTAAGTTTGGGGAAAATTGTAGGAATTGCACCTCACTTTGAATCTGGGTCCCAATTAAAAGATATCCCTTGTTCTTCTAGCAGAGGGAAAAGGTATAAAGTAAAGTAGCTCTAAGCTCTTAGGGTTCTAAGATATGCAAATAGTTTCCCCACTTCAGATCTCTGCATAGACTCGGCCGGTGCAAATTACTAAAGCATTCTGTGTGCCTCAGAGAGAGACAATGAGACCGCTACAACCGATGAAAAAGAGTTTCCAGCATGTTTGAAGGTATGCATCAGAAACTTTACTTTATTTTATATAAAATTATATGGTGTTCCCTCTGCATGAATTGTATTGAAAGTGTGTTTGGACTTTAAAAATTGAATTTAAATTGATCTTTAAAGCTTTGAATGTCCTGCTGCCATAAAGAATATAGAGAATTAGCCATTTTTCATGAATTATGGATTACCTTAAGAATTGCTGCCACTCCAATAAATGCACGCTTTTGGATTTGAATTTAAGTTTGTATATTTATCTAAAGAATTTTATAAAGATGTAGTCTTCAGCCATATTTTTTTACCTAAAACAAAAAGAAAAAAATGTGTGCAGTTCCTTACAATAAAGTTCTATCTTGAGTTAACTGACCAAGTATTCTTACTAGGAAAACCTTAAGGCAGTTAACAAAAATCCAAGTAAATTAAAAATACTTTTGATATTTGTATTTTCCAGTTAATAAAGTATTTGTCCAAAGCTCATTTTTTCCAGAGCTCTTCTTTCTTCCTCATTACTGAAATTTTGCAATATACTTATTTAACTATTGCTACAAAAAGAAAAGAAGTCTTAATTAAATCTTTATATTATTCAAATCCATTTAAAGTCTTTTAGTTAAGCCAGTTGGGGGGGTAGGGGAGGGATCATAATCTTACATCAACTTCTTCAAAAAGTTGGTTTACATCAGCAACAAGCAATAAGACTGAAGTAGCAACTATCCATCTTAAACTCTCTTGTCTTTTAAGTTTGATCTTCACTGTTCAACTGCAATGACCACTCCAGCTAATTTTTTTGTATTTCTTTGAGTATATAAGTAAAGAAGGTATCCTTAAATATTTGTTTTAAAATGCACACATCTCAGGGCTTCTTTCCATTCCTACGTTTTACCCACACAGTGGCCAGTTCAAAATAAACACTGAGTACGTACGTACGACAATCAGCCTAATGAGAGCAGCCTTAAGGCTTTCTGTGATGATTGGCCAAAACATATTTCAGCTTTTGCTGGATTTCATCCTTGTATGGAATATTATCCTTTTGTGGGATAGTCCTACATATTCTAATTCAAAGGCAATAAGATGATTTCTGGTCTACATACACATATACCGCTACCAGCATGAGTTTGACCAAACTGCGGGAGGCAGTGGAAGACAGAAGTGCCTGCCGTGCTCTGGTCCATGGGGTCACGAAGAGTCAGACACGACTAAACGACTAAACAACAACAATACATATACCAACTAAGATGGCAGCCTTGATGGGCAGGGCATTAAATGTGTTACTTAAAAAACAAACAAACACAGGAGATATGCATTTCAGTGCTGGAAAAGAAAACGGGTAGTGGTGGCAATTATTTTGATTCAGAACTCTACTATATATTTTAGTAGAACTGATTCTACGGTGTAGAAATGCACATTATTCTATTTAAAAATAAGTCACCAACGTACACTCAGCAGTTGACAGATAATGAGACTAGGCTTCAATGTTTCCTTGCACAGTGATGTGTTCTAAGTTTAGCACTGTTGTTTTCTGTGTATAGATGTGTGTGTGTTCGTTCCATCTATCCATCCAATATAATGCTGAAGTCCATTAAAGCTTCACAACACACCTCCTGGAACTATGTACGGTATATATATATATAATTGGTTTCTTATTTTATTGGCCAGACCAACTTAACTTTTGCTGTACAAATTGTTGTTGTAGTTGTTGCTGCTGTTTTAAAAAAAACTACATTGCACAGCATCTAAAGGGAATATAAACTTTATAAATAAATAGGTTTATGGATACATGTTTGTTGTGAGGAGTCATTCCTTTCGTGTAGCACCACCTATACATTGGAATTCCCGGCCTATTGAGATTGAGCTGAAATCATTTCTGTTTCAGCAGGCTTTTCCAGACACCTGATTTGGTTATATTTGAACTTTATTTTATTTTTTTAGATGTTTATTGTGTTTTATTGGTTTTAGATGTTTTAAACAATTTTTAAATATGTTTTATCTATTTATTTATTTATTTTCCTTTGCTTTTTAATAACAGATGTGTTTATTACCCTGTGCTCCTTTGGCGGGAAGAGTGGAATACACATTTAATAAATGAATGAAAGAAAGAAACATTGATAGATTTGCACTCAAAATAAGTCATGATTGATATGCCAACGAAGTAACCCTGTTGCTTAAATCTATTTTCATCCATAAACTAATTTTTAATTATAAATGGTATCTTTGCCCTATTGATATAATAACCTATAAAACCTTTTTGGTTAACTAATAAATTACACCGCTACAACTTCTGTAACTTCCTCAACTTTTTCTAATTTCTAATCTGCCATCAAGTCAGAATATTTGAACTTGAATATATGTTAGCCTCAGCCTTCAACTTTGCAGTTACTCTGACACACACACACACACACACACACACACACAGGTCAACGGGCTTGCCCATGTTGCTTCTTTACAAATCCCATTTCATCAGAGGTGACGGAGGGCTGTGACACACTTAAGAGAAATTTAAGTGTATGGTAAATGTGTGTGTATAACAATCAGTTGACTGCTTAACTGCACATACAGAGCAGCAGGGTGGGACCACTTAACTCATGTGTGTCTATGAATAAAAAGTTATCTGAATTGGTCTTCAGGAAAAATCTACTGTCAGCAATGGAAAGCACTTCCATATTCATCCGAGAAAACTGAACTATCTAGGAGGACCTGTTGTAAAGGAAAAAGAAAGGAAACAGTGTAGTCTCTTTCTCTACCAAATTGGCAATGAACGTAACACAAATTGCCAGGTAGGACGACCTTGCACATTCTGACTGGAATTTGTTTTCTCCACTGTAGTACCATTAACACCAGACAGGTTGCTCTGGAGTAAGCAGGGCTGGCTGATGTTCTTGGGAAGCTGGTAGGGAGCACTGCTGATGCCTGCTTTGAACCCAATGTACAGTAGTTACTTTTGTGGTCTGGCCCTGTAAGCAGGACCACGTGGTTGCTTCTAGCCAGCCTTTGGACCATGTGGCTGCACATGGATTGTAAGGAATTAAAAGGTTGGCTTAGAGCCACTTGGAGTGCTACCAACAAGGGCGACTGGTAGACGACAGGGCTTACCAGAGGTTTGCCCAAGGCCCCCTGAACATAAGGCTGCAGCTCTGACGCGTGAGAAGAAATTTCACTGTACAAGAACAGGGTGAGCGGAGGAGGTTATTTTATTTATTTAACAAGATTAATATGCCACTTAATCAGAAAAACCGCTAAGTTGCATAAAACAATATAAAAGAAAATAGTGATAATTTTTTTTAAAAAAAAACCAACCCACTAGCCCCGCATCCCAGTATGTAAGACTTTGGAATTCATAACACTTCCATTTTATAATTTGCTCCTTGTCAATCCCCCTTTCCTTTGATATGTACTTACCTGCAAGGCATGTTATCTTTTTTTATTTGGTATCCTTGCAAATATGAAAAATAGTAGGTGATTTCATGCTCTTGGAACTGATGCACTCTTTTCATAAGTGTTCCTAACGAAATACCTAAAATATTTGGTTCTTTGTTATTTGGTTGGTTGCATTCTACTTTTATGTGTATTGTCTACATTAAAATAAATAAAAATGGAAGGGAGGGGATAAAATAAAGATTCTGTTAAACCTTAAAAAAAAACCCCAAACCAAATAGCCATAATGAAATTCTTCAAAATATAGATAAAAATGAACAGTTTTGCAGCAAATATATGCAATAAAATTATATATCTAGGCAGGTTTGCTGAAACAAAAAAAAGGTTTCGGCGGGTGTCAAAAACAGTACAGTGGTACCTCGGGGTAAGTACTTAATTCGTTCCGGAGGTCCGTTCTTAACCTGAAACTGTTCTTAACCTGAAGCACTACTTTAGCTAATGGGGCCTCCTGCTGCTGCTGCACCACCGGAGCACAATTTCTGTTCTCATCCTGAAGCAAAGTTCTTAACCTGAAGCACTATTTCTGGGTTAGCAGAGTCTGTAACCTGAAGCGCATGTAACCTGAAGCGTATTTAACCCAAGGTACCACTGTACAGTGAAGGCACCTGCTTAATATTAATAGGCAAGGAGATCTAGAGAGTAAGGGATAAATTCCCTGCAGAAGAGCACTTGGAGGGTTGGCAGCCCAGTACCTCAGTGCTAGACAGCCCCTACTGCTGTTGAAAGGTACCAGGAACTCACAGAAACAAGGAAAGCAAGCTACCTTATGCCACTGGTCCATCTAGGACAATATTGTTTAAGCTGACTGGCAGCGGCTCAGGTAGGGGTCTCTCCCTGTTCCTCTTGAAGATGCCAAGGATTGAACCTGTTGATCCTGGACTTGGCTACACAGTGGCAGAGGAAGAGGAGCAGGTGGTGTGCCACGCCCCCAGGACACACATCACGCCCCTGTGGGTAGCGCGCCATGCCCCCGGGACATGCGCAAGCTCCGCCCCCGCCTGCTCTCTGCCCACCAGTGCCGGAGCATGAAGCTCTGCCACTGTGGCTACATAGAAGCATCAACTATTGCAATTTTAAAAGGGCATTGTCAGCAATAGAGGGAAGTGTAGTGGTATCGAATTTCCAGATGCAACGCTCTACATTGCCCATGAGTAGGAAAGGTGATAGAACCTAAGGATAGAATTTATCACAAATGATTCTGTGTTGCCTCCCAAAAGTGTTTGTAAGCAGAACTGGGACAGTGTGTGTCTTGCAGTATTAATTCTCACTGTTCTAAGGGGCTAACTAGAATGCAGCCTTCCATGCAGGGCCGGATTTCGGTTTATTGAGGCCCTCAGCTGCTGAAGGTAATGCGGCCCTTTCTATGTCCAGCTGTCCTTTGTCAACAACAAATGGTCACCTTTTTTGTGTTGAATATATGCTATAAGGTAATTTATGGACCTAATAGGTATCTAAAGCTATTAGCACATGCAGAATGTAGACACCCTATATATAGAAATGAGTAAACCAGTGATATTTTAGGGAGCAGGCTAGCAGGCGGGGCCCATTACTTACATCATAGGAGCCTACACAACACAAAACACTATTGCTGTATGTAGGTTTTATTTTACAGTCATACCTCGGGTTACAGATGCTTCAGGTTGTGTTTTTTTCAGGTTATGGACGCTCCAAAACCCAGAAGTACTAGAACAGGTTACTGTCCGGGTTTCAGAGTTCACACATGCGCAGAAGCGCTAAATCGCAACTTGCGCATGTGCAGACTCGCCACTGTGGGTTGCGAACGCTGCGAGTTGCGAACGTGCATCCTGCACGGATCACGTTCGCAACCCAAGTGTCCACTGTATTTCTTTTTTATTTTATATTTTGGAAATGTACATCCAGTTTCTTTTTTCCTTTACATTTTTTGGTGGCCCATAAGAGAGTGGAGCCCCAAGCTATAGCTTGTTAAGCTTATATGTAAATCTGGCGCTGCTTTCATGTGTGAGAATGCAGATCTGGCACACCATGGGAAAAGTGGAAAGGCAAAGTAAGGAAGAGAAGCAGTGGGCAAGAATACTGGGTACTGAAAATGTTTTCTTCTTGATGCATTGGCCAGTATAACCACTACCACCCCCATTGCATTTATCCCAAGTGAGCTTCCTTCAGGTTTCTGAGCCACAGTAGCTGCAGGGAGCGTGGCTGCTGCAGGAGGGGTTTCAGGGTCAGAAGCAGGAAGCAGAAGTAGGATTAACCACTCCTCTCCAATTCACTGTGCCTCCTATTTGAATTGATAGTTGCACAGCAGAACTGCATTCTAGCACACCACTGCTGTCATAGGGTTTTGAAGGGGAGAGGTTAGCTCTCGCAGAAGGCACAAATCTCAAATCCCTGACACTGCACTCCATGTGCTCCAAGATCAGGTTTACCAACCCTTCCTCTATTTTTCTTTCTTTTGGTGTGAGAACATCGCTGCAGCCACTTTCTTTTGTCTTTTGGGTGGTTAGGGATTCTTTTACCCTTTAAGACTAAGGCTTGTGTATGTACTGATTATTTGCAGCCCTGTTTAAAGTAGCAACCACACACTCTGTCTCTTTCCTTTTTGTGTATTAAACCAATCTTTTTCTGCTTCCTGGTGCAACAAGTTCTTTCTTAGGCATGCAAACTTTAAATGGACACATGCCCTGACTCCACATGAAAGCTTCCATTCCTCTCAAGAGCACACACTGGGTCTATATCAGTTGGTGGATAAAAATCAATGATTTAAAAAATAATAATCAGATTTTTAAAAATTTAAATTGGTTTTTTAAATTTAAATTGGATTTTTTTTAAAAAAATGGATTTTTAAAAATAAAATGCTTTCAGAGCAAAAATATTTCTATTTAAGTTACATTATAGTCCAAAGGCTATTCATCAGGAAACAAGGATTTGTTTTTAACTGTGTAGCATAAGGCTTTATATGCAATGTTTAAATTTTTTGGGTAAATGAATTCCTTTAATCCATTCACTATGTCATGGCCTTCCAGAGGTTTCTGTAAGATTTTGGGGGCAGTTTTTTCTAACGAGAAGATACTATTATAGATGCTTGTTTTTGCAGTTCTCAAAAGGGTGAATTTGTGTCTGCAGAGGTAACATGCCTTTTCTTCACAGGAAAAATGTTATAAAATACACATACAGAGTTAAGGGGAAAATCTTAATCCCATTGTTTCTTTGCAAATTTTATATACACAGAATCAACCCCTAACCTCTGAAAAGCAGAGGTTCGATGAATAGATTGTCTGGGAGACAGTACACTTCCCAAGACATCTTGTCAGGCCCACAGATCACTGCTTCTGTACCCCTCAGTAGGGAATCTCCTATCACCACTACACGCCTCCTCTTAGGTTTGGTCGGGGTTCTTCCGTGAGCTGTCCGTTCCAAGGTCGCCTGCACATTCCCTGAGGACTGACTTTGCTGCTCGTCTTCATATACCTGATCGACTGTAATGAGGGAGAGATCCTCAAATGGAGTCTGTTCTTCATCTTCCATGCTAGGGGAGAGGACCTCAAAGTGATTGTGTATTTCTAAACAATCAGAGCGAACCCTGAGCCTCCTACTTCTTTGAGTCACATTTCTCCATATATCTGGCTCCTGTGTTGGTGAACTAGCCTCCTTCTCAGGGGAGTCCCCTGTCTCCTCCTTGGTGGAGACGGTGTGCTCTGTTGCTTCCAAGAAGAGCTCCAGCTCTCTAATTCTTTGGAGCGTAGCTACATGTTCCTCCAGTTGCTGGACTTTGTCTTCTAAGAGGGCAATCAACATGCAATTGCTGCAGGTAAAGCTGCCTGCAACCTTTGGCAAGATGGCAAACATTGCGCAGGAACCGCAGGCGACTACAGCTGTTCCCTCCCCCTCCATCTCAGAACCACTGGCAGTCATCTTTGAGAATTCCTGGAGAACAGGCGAAGTCCCAGCAGACTGGAGGAGGGCAAATGTTGTCCCTATTTTCAAAAAGGGGAAAAGAGAGGACCCAAATAATTACCGCCCAGTCAGTCTGACATCAATACCAGGGAAGATTCTGGAGCAGATCATTAAGCAAACAGTCTGTGAGCACCTAGAAAGGAATGCTGTGATCACCAATAGTCAGCATGGATTTCTGAAAAATAAGTCATGTCAGACTAACCTGATCTCGCATTTTGACAGAATTACAAGCCTGGTAGATGAAGGGAACGCAGTGGATGTCGCCTACCTTGATTTCAGCAAGGCATTTGACAAGGTGCCCCATGATATTCTTGTAAAGAAGCTGGTAAAATGCGGTCTTGACTATGCTACCACTCAGTGGATTTGTAACTGGCTGACTGACCGAACCCAAAGGGTGCTCATCAATGGTTTCTCTTCATCCTGGAGAAGAGTGACTAGTGGGGTGCCACAGGGTTCTGTCTTGGGCCCAGTCTTATTCAACATCTTTATCAACGATTTGGATGCTGGACTCAAGGGCATCCTGATCAAACTGGGAGGGGTGGCTAACACCCCAGAGGACAGGATCACACTTCAAAACGACCTTGACAGATTAGAGAACTGGGCCAAAACAAACAAGATGAATTTTAACAGGGAGAAATGTAAAGTATTGCACTTGGGCAAAAAAATGAGAGGCACAAATACAAGATGGGTGACACCTGGCTTGAGAGCAGTACATGTGAAAAGGATCTAGGAGTCTTGGTTGACCACAAACTTGACATGAGCCAACAGTGTGACGCGGCAGCTAAAAAAGCCAATGCAATTTTGGTCTGCATCAATAGGAGTATAGCATCTAGATCAAGGGAAGTAATAGTGCCACTGTATTCTGCTCTGGTCAGACCTCACCTGGAAACGATGCCTTATGAGGAACGGCTAAGGGAGCTGGGCATGTTTAGCCTGGAGAAGAGGAGGTTAAGGGGTGATATGATAGCCATGTTCAAATATATAAAAGGATGTCACATAGAGGAGGGAGAAAGGTTGTTTTCTGCTGCTCCAGAGAAGCGGACACGGAGCAATGGATCCAAACTACAAGAAAGAAGATTCCACCTAAACATTAGGAAGAACTTCCTGACAGTAAGAGCTGTTCGACAGTGGAATTTGCTGCCAAGGAGTGTGGTGGAGTACTCCTTCTTTGGAGGTCTTTAAGCAGAGGCTTGACAACCATATGTCAGGAGTGCTCTGATGGTGTTTCCTGCTTGGCAGGGGGTTGGACTCGATGGCCCTTGTGGTCTCTTCCAACCTATGATTCTATGATTCTATGGAGTGGAGTAGATCTGCACAAGTAGCTAAGTGTGAAGCAGTAAAAATGAAAGTGAAACCTTGTGAGCAGAATACAAATGTACCTTGGTTGCCGAACGCCTTGGTACTCGTACGTTTCGACTCGCGAATGAACGAAACCCAGAAGTGACTGTTCTGATTTTCGAATGATTTTTTGGAAGCCGAACGTCCAACATGGCTTACATGGCTTCCAACTGAGTGCAGGAAGGTCCTGCAGCCAATCGGAAGCTGCACCTTGGTTTTTGAACAGTTCTGGGAGTCGAACAGACTCCCGGAACAGATTAAGTTCGACAACCAAGGTACGACTGTACTCAACAGTCTTCGGATCTTTGTGTAATAATTGTGCAAGTCAGTTGCATGTCTAGGCAACTCAGACTTGGGTCAAGGCACTTCAGGGCTGGCAACCTCTTCCCAGTCTCACTGGGTTCCAAAAACTGCACTAGCACTTAACTGAATAGACACCTGAATGTAGAAGCAAATCTAAAGAGGTGGGTGGTGGTGGTCGTGGAAATACAGAAGTTTTTTCATGTGTGCTAAAACTCAGTCTAAGTGTTTGTTTGTTTGTTTGTTTCTTAAAGTTTAACCACATCAGTTAACGAACATGGCTACGTATGCTATAATGTTATTGTTTCAGTTAAATAAATTGTTTAAATTGTTATTAAGGAAATGATTGTTTTTCTCCTTCCAATAAAGCATAGCAGAAAAGTTGTCCAAATATAAACAATTAATTTATTAAACCTCACAATAATTTCATAATTATCTGTCTATGTATTTCTAATAGTATAACCAAATCAGTAATTTTGGATATAACTGTAAAAACTACTCTAACAATTAATTATTCCAAAAATGAAACCTTCATCTGGTTGTAAATATTAAGATTATACCAGCAAGAATGAGTCTTTCTGTAAAAAAAAGTGATTTAAATCGAGTCTTACTGACTAGTGATTTAAATTGTGATTTAAATCAATTTGATTTAAATCAAACCCACCCTGGTCTATATATGGGGTGGACATGTATGTGGGTTCAGATATACATCTGTAATGCTACTAAACTAGGGGAGATTAGCAGCCAAACCTAACAAATGCATATTCCTGCAAGTTAGCCTGAGAAGGGGCTAAGTCCACAGAGCTGTATTGCTGATAGATGGATACTCAGACCATAGAACTACAATTGGTAGAGAGGACTCAGTGTGATGTCATTTCCCCTCCTCTCCTGGAAAGGAAGAAGCATATAGCACTTCCAGTTCCTTTCTCTATTTGACCAATGATAGATGCAGACATGCCTGGAGCTGATTATACTGTAAATATCAGCATTTTGCTTTTAACTTTGCTGCCAAGGATGGGATTTGAAACTCTGTTCGACCGGCACACGTGGGCACCTGGAGGAATAAATTGCAATTAATATATCCTCTCCTACCCATTAAAACCCATCCCATATAAACTGGCTTGGAAAGCCAGCTACAGTCTTTAAAAAGACACATGAAGGCTGTCCTTCCCAACATTTCTCCTGAAGAGTTTCAATTATAAATCTAGACATAAAATTTGGCACTCACCCTTTCATCCTTGACCGTGCAACAAAAATAAGATTCAATGGACAATTTATGCTCCCACTTTTGTCTCTTGCCTTCTCCAATATCTTTTCCGTACCATAAAATAAAATTGGGAATCATTTGAGCCATTTCATTTTAATTTCTGGATCCTCCCCCTTACCACAAAGCAATAACAAACATCAACAAAGCAAATCAGTTTGTATTCCAGTTTGACTTTAGCCTGAGATCTTGCATGTTTTTATCGACATTGAACTCCTTTTTACAGCACCATCTGTTGAATATAACTAGAATTTCAGTGTAACATTGTACCCAAACATTGTTCCAAAATTAGATTAAAAAGAAAAGCACACTGGCTACATTATGCCAGAAACAAATAAATCCATTCATTTGAGCGTCTGTGCAACCTCATCTTTGGGAGCCAATCACTTTGAGATGTATGAAGAGCTTTTATAATGATGGTGATTATGATGAGGGGAAGACTAGGTAAGGAACAATACACAATGGCCTTCAAGCAAAAAGAAAGGAAAAAAGAGTGTCATAGCAGAGAGCCTTTTAATGTAGGTGGGAAGTACCGCAGGGTGTATATTAACTGTAAGCGATAGCATTACATCTCTGCTTTAGACAGAGGCAGGCATTTATCAGAACCCAAACAAACAGATTGTTCCAGCACTACACTGCTTTTTATAAGAAACACTGAGAAGTTCCACAGAGCACAGCACATTTCCCAGCGCAGACTTGAAATGCGGTAGAAAACTGATATATAAAATGGCGACTATCCCTTGATCTTTAAAAACCATTATTTGCACCTGATTACAGCCAATATTTCCAAAGCAAAATAACATGCTTTCTCGATAGCATATATCCAATATGGGGACTTCCGGCTGGTTTGCTTCCAAGAAAATCTACACCCTTGCTTTGCCTGTTGGTGGTAGAGGCTGATAGTCATTTTTGCTTGCCTAGCTAACAGCGGGTGGCGCTGTGGTCTAAACCACTGAGCCTCTTGGGCTTGCCTATCAGAAGGTCGGCAGTTCGAATCCCAGTGACAGGGTGAGCTCCCATTGCTCGGTCCCTGCTCCTGCCAACCTAGCAGTTCGAAAGCATTCCAGTTCAAGTAGACAAATAGGTACCGCTCCAGCAGGAAGGTAAACAGTGTTTCCGTGTGCTGCTCCGGTTTCGGTGTTCCGTTGCACCAGAAGCGGCTTAGTCATGCAGAAAAACTGTCTGCAGACAAACGCTGGCTCCCTTGGCCTGTAAAGCAAGGTGAGCGCCACAACCCCAGAGTCATCTGCGACTGGACTTAACTGTCAGGGGTCCTTTACCTTTACCTTTTAACTAACAGCTCTAATTGCTGAATTGTTCAAAAACTCACAGAACTGACAGGATATGACAGAACTCAGAGCCTTCATTTAACTTTCCCCCTGTCATGATACCCAAGCTGGAGGCAGTAGGGAAGGTGGTGGTGGGGAGAACAGGAAGAGTGGATATGGCTGAAAACCATTTAGAAAGGAAGAGAGAAAAGGGGAACACCCCTTATACAACAATGTTTGGTTTTCCATCTGCGGGATTGTCTTCCCACTAAGCATTTTTTGTACTTCTGCAAACCTAGGGTTCCCTTGGGCCTTTTGATGTGCATGGGTCATGCCATTTGGGCTACTTAAGGATCAGTGCTCACTGCTGAACATCACAAACAGAGGGAATTATACAGAATTCTATGAGGTTCCCCCCACCACCACCGTAGCTACCATGCCATCAAGATTATTGTCTGAGATAACTGCTAATCAAAGCAAGAATACTGCACACAAGAGAATGAGTCATTTGCTTCAGTTCTGGGAAACATGAGCACAGATGCACACACAGTTACATTAGTGGTCATGCAGGATTCAGATCGGATAACACACAAGATTTCGTATGCAGTCTACTATCATGAGATGCAACCTGTTGCACTCCGATTATAGCCGATATGTGTGGGTGGAGAATATTCTTTTTTCATCCACGAATTCCCTGCTGGATTGGAGTGGTTGACTTCATTTTTGTTTCTGAAAGTGCAATGCAAATGGCAAATGATAAAACAAAGCTGAACAGATGTTCCATTTTGAATGGGAAAAGGCTTGCTTTGCTTATTGGAGAGCTCCCAGGGAAATCTTCCAGAAGATCCTAACAATAATCGGAAGCTACGGACGATGTTGCACTGTTCCTGGCACTAGTCAGGGACAGAGAGAAAAAAAGGAGCCTGTGAACCTCATGCGAATTTGAGGGGGACACCATAAAGACAAAGGGCACCCACCGCCCAGCCACTTCCAAGTCCCAGTGATTTTGAGAAGACAGAGGAAACACCTGCTTACCTCTCCTGCTGAAATTAAATGGGACTTAGAAAGGCTTTGAGCCAGTGTGGTGTAGTGTTTAAGAGCGGTGGACTCGTAATCTGGTGAACCGGGTTCAATTCCCCGCTCCTCCACGTGCACCTTGGGCCAGTCACACTTCTCTGAAGTCTCTCAGCCTTACTCACCTCACAGAGTGTTTGTTGTGGGGGAGGAAGGGAAAAGGAGAATGTTAGCCGCTTTGAGACTCCTTAGGGTAGTGATAAAGCGGGATATCAAATCCAAACTCTACTCTTCTTTGGGTCCTGCTCAGAGATGGTGCTTCATTGGAGCTGTTAATGGCAATCTTGTCACATGGCAAGTTCACTTCAAACCTTTCCTTTGAAATGCATTATGAAATCCCCAGTTATTACAAATAGGTCAATGGTACCGGGTGGGTCCAACTCATATTATCTGAACACCACCCATAACTCCAACTGCCCAGCAATTCCTCTTATTGCTGCCATTTCCTAGGCAACCAAACAGCCAGCCGTAGAAATGGAATGTGCAAAGGGAAGAAGGAACCCAATCTGGAAGTATTTCTATTTGTGTCTTGTTTAAACGTATTCCTAATTCTCAAGAGTTATCTACGATTGACGTCAGAAAACACACAACACAAGAGGCGGAGGAGAGGTTAGGTCAGCATGGAAGAATGCAGAACTTTCAAGATGTTGTGCATTTGAAAGTTTTGACTTTAGAGTTTAACTATTTCACTGCACGAAACCCACGCATTTAGGATAGTTTTATGATCCAAGACATTGAACTTTGGAAAGAAAACCGCATCACTGAAATTCTGTGCCATCCGCAAATCTACTCTAGGTTTTTTTAAAAGCAGTTTTTCCAAATGCACAAATTCCACCCCACACTAAAATACAAAGGCCAAATGCACACAAAGATTGCTTTGCTCTTTGCTGGCACTCTGTATCAGTTGCAGTTTCATCATCATCATCCTTCACCCGAAGTTCTCCGGGTGGTACCCAAGATAAAAATACAGGGTAAAAGCACAAAATAAATTGTTAAAGTGCAGACTTTTCAGTACTGACTGCTCTTAGCTCACAGAGGAAATAAGACAACTCTTGACATGATATGGTATTATTGTTTGGGTATCTGTGGGCTCAGGGGGTGTGGGGCATACATATGGGGGGAAAGAAAAGAAAAACCTCTCGCACCCCCATGCTAGACTCAAAACATCCCTGTACAGTGTCAGACCTTGGCTTGTTCTTGTCTTAGCCAGCAAGGACTCCAAAAACCGTCCCCTGCAGCTAGAGTTCTTCTCTTCCCCCTAGTTTCTTCTCACTTGACCCTTCCGCTAAGTTCTTACAGTACTGATTTACTTACTGTACCTTTCTGTGTATAAGACCATGATTTTTTATTTTTTATTTAAAAATCATGCTAAAATGTGGTGGTCGTTTTATACATGGGTAGTGCACAGGGTGGACATTTGGTTGGTTGCTGGCGTGGCTGTCAGCGGCTATTGTGCATGTTATTGGTTGCTGCATCAATGGGTGGTGTTGATTTTGTGATGCTCTGGCAGGTGGGCGGGCGATTGGCAGCTTCCGCTGCTGATGGTTCCCCAAAATAGGGGTAGTCTTATACACGGGGGCTTCTTATAGATGGAAAAGTATGGTATTTAGTTCTTTCTCAGTTTAACAGATGTCATAGGGCAGGCCCCAACTCTTTCTCAGAGAGACTCCCAGACTGACAGCTGCTAGACCTAGCGGGCTCACTGAGCTAGGTAGGCCAATGCAGAAAATAATACCTCCAGACAAACTGAAGGACAGTGCAATGTATGTTTGTGCCTTGAATGTATTCTGAGAGTGCCAAGTCTGTTAGAACCTCAACAGATCTCGCAAAATGCATGCTGGTCTATGGATTATCTTAAAAATACATTCAAATGAGACAAATCGACTGATATTTGTCTTTATGTGTGTGGTGCATGCTCTGGTTATCTCCTGCTTGGATTACTGCAATGTGCTCTACGTGGGGCTACCTTTGAAGGTGACCCGGAAACTACAACTAATCCAGAATGCAGCAGCTAGACTTCTGACTGGGGGCAGCCGCCAAGACCACATAACCCCAGTCCTGAAAGACCTACATTGGCTACCAGTATGTTTCCGAGCACAATTCAAAGTGTTGGTGTTGACCTTTAAAGCCCTAAACGGCCTCAGCCCAGTATACCTGAAAGAGTGTCTCCACCCCCATCATTCAGCCCAGACACTGAGGTCCAGCGCTGAGGGCCTTCTGGCGGTTCCCTCACTGCAAGAAGCAAAGCTACAGGGAACCAGGCAGAGGGCCTTCTTGGTAGTGGCGCCCGCCCTGTGGAATGCCCTCTCATCAGATGTCAAAGAGATAAACAACTACCTGGCATTTAGAAGACATCTGAAGGCAGTCCTGTTCAGGGAAGTTTTTAATGTGTGACATTTTAATGTATTTTTAATCTTTGTTGGAAGCCACCCAGAGTGGCTGTACCAAGCCAGATGGGTGGGGTACAAATAATAACAACTTCTTCTTCTTCTTCTTCTATAAAAAAGCCACAACAAAGCTGCAATAAATGCTGCACAAGTTGCTCCTTCTGCCAGGTGACTCAGTGGAGTCACAGTAAAGCCAACCATCCCTAGTCACAGAGCTCTACCACCCCTGAACTTACCACAAACCTGTAAGCTCCACCGCCTGGCTCCACCCCCAGACTGCTCTGAGTCCCTGCCACCTCCAGGCACTGAACACGTACCCAAACTATTGATATGAGGAGGTGGCAATGAACATGATTTTGGTTGCATGTATGAAGAGCTCAACCTCTCACACTAGACAGTATCTGCCATCACTTTAGATTTAGCGATTAGCATAAAATAAAACCCATCAAAGCAAAACAGATACTCAAAGTTTCGGCACTGAATAACAGCTGCATCGTCAAATAAAGCTTACTCGTTCAGCCATTATTTGCAAAGCATTCAAATGGCTTATCCAGGCAATTGTGGAGATTTTTAAACAACAAATAAAAATAATACTCAATGTGAATTTTTGTGCGCATGATTTCAACTTCACTATGCACGAAAGTTTCAGTGTCCGTAACAATTTTATCTTTTTCTGAGAGCTGCTTCAGTTTGCTTTCCTGCCTAGGTTTCTGCCTGCCACTTCTAATCCTCATTTTTATTCCTGTTGGTTATCTGATCTCTTTGATCCTTCAGAGGAGGCCTTGAACTCTGGTTTTATTCCTAATGGAGTCCACTGGCAAGAAGTGGTGTTTTTTTTCCTCCTGTGGTTTTGCAGTCTTTATCACATTTGAGCTTTTTGTTTACTTTTCATAGGTTTTTGTAGCTTTTTTATATTTTCTGGAGATTCTGGACATTTTGTAGCACAAGAAAAGCTACCCAAACACTTGATATTTGTAGCAAAATCTTCAGCCACTGAGAAAATGGCCTTTTAATTTTTATCTTGTGTTTTCATTAAACAAAGAAGGAGTTGGGGGGGAGGGAGCAGAGAGAGAGAAGGCAATGTTTAAACAATATGGTCCAAGATACAGTCTGAAGACACATGAGGCCACTTAGCTTGATGAGCTAAGCAGGTCTGGGTCTGGTAAATACCTGAGCAGGTGACTCTCTGCAAACTGCAAGTACATTGCCATGGGCTCCCTGACAGAAGAAAGGAGGGCTATAAGTGTGAGAAAATAAATAAATATGGCAGTACAGTAGTACCTCTGGTTACGTACTTAATTTGTTCCGGAGGTCCGTTCTTAACCTGAAACTGTTCTTAACCTGAAGACCACTTTAGCTAATGGGGCCTCCCACTGCTGCCGTGCCACCGGAGCACAATTTCTGTTCTCATCCTGCAGCAAAGTTCTTAACCTGAGGTACTATTTCTGGGTTAGCAGAGTCTGTAACCTGAAGCATATGTAACCTGAAGCGTATATAACCCGAGGTACCACTGTATAGAAAATTCAGATTATAGACAGGGACAATATAAACACATCCAGACCAAAGACTAAGATACTTTCAAGGATGTATAACTTGCTGTTGGAATGGAATACACAGGATGAAATGGTTAAATCGGCCATGATAAGGTGGGCACAGGATATTGGGTATAATATTATGTTTGAGGACTGGGAAAGGCTGTGGAGTAATGGATTGAAATTTACTGCATGTAATGCTTTGAAAGAAAATGTAATGAAAATGATTTATAGATGGTATATGACCCCAGTCAAACTTGCAAAAATTACCACCTGTCTGACAACAAGTGCTGGAAATGCAAAGAGTGTGAAGGAACGTTCTTTCACCTCTGGTGGACATGCCCTAAAGTGAAGGCGTTCTGGGAAATGATTTATAATGAATTGAAAAAGGTATTTAAATATACTTTCACTAAGAAACCAGAGGCTTTCCTTTTGGGTATTGTCAGCCAAGGGGTGGCAAAGAAGGACCAGACATTTTTATGTATGCAACAACAGCAGCAAGGATACTACTCGCAAAACATTGGAAAACAGAAGTCTGCAGAAATTCAACCATGTCAATCAGCCTAATGAATGATTTCCCTTTCTAAAGTTACTAATGATGGGGATAATTCAAACCAAAAAAGGCAAGTCTGAGGTCAGACTTTTTAGCTGTCCTCTCTAATCTTAATTAATTAATTAATTAATTAAATTTGTATACCACCCTTTATTTGAAGATCACAGGGCGGTTCATGACAGAAAAATACAAAATACATAATAAAATATAACCCCCTTCCCACAAATACATTGGCAACTGGCTGGTAGTTACTTAGATTTTTTGAATCCGGGGACAGTTTCTTGAGGAGTGGTGTTACCATTGCCTCTTTCAAGCAGGCAGGGACCACACCCTCTCGCAAGGATGCATTTATCACTTCCCTAGCCCAGCCAGCTGTCCCTTCAGTGCCAGTTTTTATCAGCCAAGAGGGGCATGGGTCCAGAGTGCAAGTGGTTGTCCTGACCAATCCAACCACGTTATCCACGTCCTTGAGCCTTACTAACTGGAACTCACCCAACAGAACACAACTAGACAGTGCTCTGGAAATCCCTTGAGAATTCAACTGTTGTAATAGTGGAGTGAAGACCTCAGTTGACACAAGTGATTTTGTCATCAAAATGCTTTACCAACAAGTCACAGCTAGTTGCTGTCGGTTCTACCACCACCTTTGGGCCAGACTGTGTAAAAGGTCCCACACTGCCTGGAAAAGCTCTGCCGGACGGCATAGTGAGGAGGCAATGGAGGCAACAAAGTATGTCTTCTTTGCTGCCTTCACTGCCAATAGGTAGACTTGATGATTAGTCCTCACCAGTGTTTGATTGCATTCTACTGGAGTTTTCCTCCAGTCACATTTGAGCCATCTCCCAGTTTGTTTCCATGTCCTAAGCCCTGGAGTATACCAGGGAGCCAAGTGGGCTCCACAAAGTGGGAGAGGGTGCTTTGGGGTGATCGTGTCAACTGTCAAATCCATTTGGGTGTGCGGAAACGTTGGATGTCATTGGATCCATCAGAATCTGAGGGTGGACCATGCTGATAGGTCCCTTGCCTCTGCAGAGGGGAAAAGGTACTGAGAGCCTAAATCTCAGCAGGAAGTGATCTGACCATGACAAAGGACTGATGTCAATATTCCCCACTTTCAGTTCACCCTCTTCCTGCTCAGTTGAGAAAACAAGATCCAGAGTGTGGCCTGTCACATGTGTTGGGCCAGTGACATCTTGGGGCAACCCCATGGTTGTCATGGCAGCCATGAAGTCCTGAGCCACTCTAGAGCCAGTTGCATCATCAATCCCCCAGAAGGAGTCTGGGAGTCCTCAGCATTGTCTCTGAGACCAGGTCTGTCAGCTCAGGCAGGGAGACTGCTGGGCAACAAGGCAGGTAGTAAATCCCTAATCTGTCCCGACTGCCCGGTGCCAGGAACAAGCACTCTAGTTCTCCCTGTAGCTGACAGAGAGCAAGAGAGAGATGCAATCTCTGCAAACCACAGCAACACGCCCCCCAGTCTACCCTGATGCTGACCAAGTACCCAGGTGGGCACAGCTGGGTGAGACCAACTCCACCCTGCTCACACACCTGGGTTTTAGTTTTACAGATCAGACCATGGATGAGAGAAGTCCTACTCAAAGTAGACCTGGCATTCAGCAACAGCAGCCGCAGACCTGAGGGCAGGTTAAGGCCCACATCACTGAGATGCCATACCTGCATCTCCACTATACCACTTCATTTTTTTAAAAAAATGATATTTATTAAGTTTTCCAATTTAACAGTCCAATAAAAAAACACATTAAAACATTCCAAATTATAATACAATAAAAAGCCGAATAATCATGCCAAATAATATATCTTTGGGTGGCTTCCCATGCTCTGAAGTTTGGGGAGTGATGATCTAATATTGTACTGCATTCCTTAATTAGTCCAAATAGTCCCTATAAACATTTCCAATATTGATCCTTCGTTTATTTTTAACAGCCTCTGAGTTTGTTTAACAAGTGGGTTCATCCTTTGTAGTTCTGTGTGAAATATTTTAATTCTCTTCTTCTTTATTGTCCTGTTGTAATCCAGCGTTCTCATCAATGCACTTTCACTTTCTGCACACAAAGGCAATTCTTAGTGCGTCACATCCAAGACAGAGGAAGATGTGCCTTCTGCCATTAGTGCCAGGCGTATATCCAGAATTCCCTTCTCTGATCTTGTTCCAGCTGCTAACAAGCTGATGCCTCAGTAAAAACGCCATAGCTCCCATCATATATTCTTTTTGTCATTCCATTAAGGGTCACTGCCAGAATCATAGTCAAATTTTCACACAGTCAATTTTGTAGTTAAACCATAACAATAACGATAGCAAGATACTCTTTCAGGCCTGCTTGCATATTTCAAACAGACAGTTCTTCGGGGGAGATTTGCTGAATAAAGCAGCAAATGCAAAATATATCAAGAGAAAATAATGGAGGGTCACCTCCCCCAACGTACCGATAGTTACAGCAAAAGTCCTTCTCCAGGTCGAACTCTTGGCACCCAGTGGCTGAATCAGTTAGCAGAGTACTTTATCTCCCCTAGTTCAGAGCATGCCTGTTAGTTAAGTCCAAATTTTATCTTATAAAACAGGTGTCCTCTGCTCATGGCAACAGCTTTGGGGAGTTGCCGAAATGCGCGGTGCAATGTATCCAGTTCCCCCTGCCCCCGCATTCCTTCAGAATGGGCGACAGGTATCGGACGATTTGTGGGTGAAGCAGTCCCCCCCGGCCCTGGGGTTTGGGGGGGAGGATAATTACTCCCATATATCCTCAATTAGCTGCACGGAAAGGCTCCACGGGCATAGGGACCGCGGTTCGCCATGGCAGCCAGACATGAAGTGCCCACTATACCACTTCAGACTGCGGTTCAGGACTCACATCACTGAATACTTCTCCATAGAAAAAAACAAAATGTCAGTGAGATGGTGGCCTTCTGTGAAAACTAGGCCTAATCCTTTTCAATAGAAAATTCTTCCACTGAGTATCTGCCATGATTCTCCTGAAGTCTTTTGCCCCTCTTTGTTCCTTTTGTCAGTAGGTTATGAGTTTGCTGTTCTAGAGGTAGATAAAATTCTGTTCAAAGGTACATTTCACAGCATATAAAATACATTTATTTAAATTTTGATGCCATAAGGCATTTTGTGATTAACTTGAGGAGTCAAGCCCTCTTTTCAGGTTATGTAGCATATCTGAACTCTTTTCGCTTGATCTCACCTTGAAATGTGGCTTTCCTCCCTAGTTCTTTATACATGCTACAATGCATTCTTCTTTGGCATTTCTGTCTTACAGAATGTACTAGTCATGATATTCTTTGTTGTTCCATTCCTTTTGCATTTTAGCCTTGAGGATGTGAGAAATGTAAACGAATTATTTCTTTTTCAAACTCACTGCAGGTTAAATGTGAAACTCCTGTTCTGCTGGACAACATACCTGTTTTAGACATGAAGGGCTCACAGTAGATGCTTTTGTTGTAACCTTCCACATTGCAGCGCACCATTTGTAGGGCTGACATTGAAGACGGTCCAGAAATGACAGTTCAAAAATAAGGCCACAAGATTATTAACTGGTTCTGGACATTTTGACTGTATTTTACCAGTACTTTATCAACTGTGCTGGCTTCCATTCCATTTTGAGGTCCACTTGGAAGTCTAGACTTTAAGATCTAAAATGTTGAGCGGCTTGGGATCGGGTTGTTTGGGGGAGGGGGGAAGTCTTCTTCTGTAAATGCCTACCGAGATCTTATGATCTTCTTTGAAAGTACCTTATCAAATGAGGGTGGCTGCTAGCCTTCTCAGTGGTGACACCCCAACTGTTGAATAGTCTCCTCAGAGACACTCACATGGCACTTCTTTGTGGTTTATTTCGTGATAAATACAAGGTGGTCTCAAAATTTCAAATTTTGAGAAATGAGCATGGGGACCAGTCACAAAATGGCTTCTGTGAGAGCACAGCATAGCACAAAATGCCCAAAGACTGCTGTGAGAGCAAGGCATAATGACCCACATCTAAGAGAACAAAAGATGACACAGGACCACAACATAGTGCATGTCCCCTCCAATCAAGAGATAATTCAGGGGGCAGGGAAGACAACTACATCAGCCGTATTGTGCTCATTTACAGAGAGAAGCTTTGTACCTCTCCTCAGAACTGATAAATAAGTAAATCTGCTGCTGCAACAGTTTGACCTACAAATACAAAGGGAAGTACAGTGGTACCTCGGGTTACATACGCTTCAGATTACATACGCTTCAGGTTACAGACTCCACTAACCCAGTGGTACCTCGAGTTAAGAACTTTGCTTCAGGATGAGAACAGAAATCGTGCTCTGGTGGCGCAGCTGCAGTGGGAGGCCCCATTAACTAAAGTGGTGCTTCAGGTTAAGAACAGTTTGAGGTTAAGAACGGACCTCCAGAACAAATTAAGTACTTAACCCAAGGTACCACTGTACTAAGGGGAGATCAATACATTGTTTCCAAAGTTTCCACAGCCCTGAAACATTTGGCCAAGTGCATGGTGCGTGGCTTCTATGGGGTTGAACACTCACTGGCCCTTGATGTTCTAATCTGCTGCTCTTGCATGAAGGATTATTATTATTATTAATATTATTTTTGCTGCCCCTCAAGTATGAGCGCAAAAGATGCGAACACTCTCAAGGCCAACGAATTTGTGGAGCTTGTGCATGACTGTGGAGACAGGCCCAAAGAGGAAGAGCAGCAAGGCACAGCTATCATTGCATGGACTACCAGGTGTTTGTGGATGTGGGGAAGTACAAACTGGATCGCGTGTGCTGAAAGATTGAGACAGGCGAGCAGGATTCAACCACCCAATCGTCCTTCAAATGCCCTTCCTGCTGAAACTCATCCATTTACCTGGAAGTGAATCAGTTGTGTGATATTTTCAGAGATGTTTAGTACACTTACTGCTTTGGAGGAGGTGGGGAGTGAATTTAAGTATTTTTTATCTTATCTTAAATATGAAGTAGTTATTTATATTTTTTATTTCTCCTTCCTTCCTTCCCGCCTGCCTGCCTGCCTCTTTTTCACGAGGTGCATTGGCCTACACTGCCTGCATTTCTGGGACACAATGCCCCCAGGAAAGACACCTCTCCCTGAAAGTCACCGAATATCCACAAGCACCCACTATCAAAAGGGATAGATTTCTAACTTCCATCCAATCTAACAAATCTAACCTAAGCATCTCTGGAACACTATAGCAATTTTAAAAGAAGTGATTTTTCATAAAATAATGATTGCTACATGACAAGTAATTGCAAGAACTGAGCAATGCTGCGTTTGCTTAGTAAATGGTCAAGGGTTTTATTAGTACAGACATTTCCCCCTGTCTTTAGTACTGTATCTCTTCCTACCTGTTCACCTGGATGTCTCAGAGGCATCTCAGACTCATCTATGTCAGCCTTCATATCCTCAGGTTCACACTGTTGATGGGGCATGCATCTTTGATTCTTCTTCTTCTCTCCTTTGCTTCCCACATTCAATAAATCGGCAAGTCGCGTCACTCCCTGAACAGCATTGTAAAAAACCCACCTGGCCCTTCCTCTTCCTCCCACTCAGATAAATCTCTCGTTCATGCTCTGGTAGTCACCTGAGTCCTAGCTTGAGATTACTGCTCAGTGGAGGCAGAAACCTGAACAGGATCTACTGATAGATCTCTGGGTGATTTGCACTGGATCACCAAGGATTTCGCACCTCATAGCAACAACATTCCCTCCAAAATTAGGCGGGGTGTGAAAGGACTGCAAGCTCAGGTCTGGCTTTGTGTGAAAGGGCTGTGAGATCAGGTCTAGAACAGGCAGCGACCATTTTTCCTGGCCCCCGCCTAGCTCAGCAGAGTACACATAAGCCCGTCCCACCTTATTATTATTATTATTATTATTATTATTATTATTATTATTTCAACTTATACAGCATCCTATACCTGGAGGTCACAGGGTGGTTCACAACAAGACCACAACATATGAAATCAAACCAAAAGCAGTAACCTAATAACCCCCCCCCAAAAAGTCACATTCTAAAAGGGTGTTGGATGTCAATAAGATCAACTAAAGGCCTGGTTTAAAAGCAATGTTTTTGCCTGGCGCCTAAAGGTGTACAGTATAATGAAGGTGAACTTTCATGGGGAGAGCATTCCATAGATGGGGGGCCACTGCAGAGAACCCTGTTCAGCCCTCTTCCAGGTCCAAATGGACCCACGCACCAGCCACCGTGCATCAGTTCAGCGTGTGCAAAATGGTTGCCTCATGTACTGAAAACAAATTCTTGGGATCCAGTACACTCAGAGACATCCTCTTCCTTACTTCTAAGCGTATAATGTCTCCCACCCCCAAGCTTTCTACGCTACTAATTTGCACTTGATGGGCTACAAGGCCTAAGGGGGGAAAAACAAAGTAGATGTTGCAAGTTTGAACTCCCCCACACCGTTCTTTTACGTTATGAACTCGCTTGGATCAGGGACCTACCTATTTTTCCTGTTGATGACAATTAAGACCTGCTGGAGCACAGTTGTGATCGGTTTTTGTCCTCAAGAACCGGCATTGTTAGAGAATGGAGTGCAGCTTCTTCTTTTCTTTTCTTAAACATATATATAGCTTCTTACGTGAGGCCCTTAGCCAAAGCAAGAAAAAATAACTTAGTCAACAGCTTTTGCATAAAATGCCTGCTCTATCACCTCCTGTGATACAGTAATGAATGAGCACAGACCAGACATCTTCAGATTCTCCAGATGTTAAGGATCCTCCAGGATGCATAGTTCCTGACAAGACACTGAGTGTATAATATACATTGAGTGTATAATATAGCCTTGCTCTTCAATACATCAGTCAGAGAAGCTGTTGTTGTGTGTTTTTAAAAAGACTGTCACGGACTGTTGCAAAACAAAAAGGTGAGTCACCAGAAACGGTTTTTTACAAAGACTCCAAGGCAAACCACACACAGCTATTAAGGCTGTCAGTTAATTTCAGGCTATGCTTCTGAACAGTGGTGAAGCTAGGTAGTTTTAGACCCTGGACTTACTGGTCTTACATAGAGCCCTCTTTTAGGTGACTGTGTGTATTGCTTCATTCCTGAAACACATAAAGTAAAGGTAAAGGGACCCCTGACCATTAGGTCCAGTCGTGGCCGACTCTGGGGTTGCTGCGCTCATCTTGCTTTATTGGCCGAGGGAGCCGGTGTACAGCTTCCAGGTCATGTGGCCAGCATGACTAAGCTGCTTTTTGGCGAGCCAGAGCAGCGCACGGAAACGTCATTTACCTCCCCGCTGGAGCGGTACCTATTTATCTACTTGCACTTTGACGTGCTTTCGAACTGCTAGGTTGGCAGGAGCAGGGACCGAGCAACGGGAGTTCACCCCGTCGCGGGGATTCGAACCGCTGACCTTCTGATCGGCAAGTCCTAGGCTCTGTGGCTTAACCCACAGCTCCAACCACATCCCCCCTGAAACACATACTTAACATTTATTCCTCCTCTCCCCCTCCAATGTTATGCTTTACTGCTGCTTCTGCCAGTAGTAGCCAGTTTGCTAACTCTTATTAAAAATAATGAAAAAAAGACATAGCTTGTGCAGTTTTGCATTTTAAACTCATAGCGTCATCATGACTATAGGAATAAAATGGAGTTTCTTAACAATGTATTAGTGTAAAAATGGACCAAGTGTCTCACTTAATGGGATTAGTTTAACCTCAGGTTGTGTTGATCAGGCAAAACTTTATCACAGTCTGGGCTCTCTCACACATGATTAAATTCCTACTTTCCAAAAAAGCTTGTTATTCAGATGCAGAAAAGGTATTTGGAAACTTAGGCTGGTACTGGCTCAGGTGATTTTGCAATAACTCGTTCATATTGACTCATCTCCAGAAGATGCCTGTAGTATGAAAGTATGCATTGGGGGTTTTTCCTGATCATAGTAGTGACTGGTATCTTGCTTTGGATTTAATTTGATACTAAAGATTTATGTACTATTGAGTCTTTCCTTTCACAGAAAAGCTTACAGGATGTATCTTAAGAAATTAGTATTCAGTTAATTGGATTTCTTGCCCACACTTCACCTTACGGTCCCAGGGCAGGCTACAACAATATAAAACACAATTTTTAAATCATTTTAAACAATTTACAACCAGAAGAATAGGGTGGGTCCTAAAAATGCAAGTATCTCAGGTGTCAGTGGCTAGTTGTGTCTTCAGCATATGACAGAGAAAGCTCTCCTGGATGACATACACACATGTTGTTGCTGTTATTTAGTAAATGTAAGACAAACTTACATACTGAATCAAATCTCTGACTATTTGGAGTAGTGAAAAATTTCTCTAAAAACCCACTTTTACTGATGAGGAGGACTCTGAAGCTGGAGGTTCCATGTAGTTACTGTGGCAAATATCCATTTATAGACCAGTTCCTGATCTCCTTTTAAAGCCATTTAAGGAAGTGGCTTCAACGACATTTTACCCCCCTTTTGTCTGTCCTGAATCTTCTGCCAATCAGTTCCCCTGGGTGATTTGTATTATGACAGAAAGATGGGGGGGGGGCTACCTTTCTCTTTCTGTGCACCATTCATAAATTTATAAATCTCTACTATGTAGCTCCTTATAGTGCAATCCTAGGCATGTTCCAATTGAATTCAATCAGATTTGCTTCAAGATAAGTGTGTATAGGAAAGCCAGCTTTCCAAAATGAACACGATTGGCTGTGCAAAATAGATTCACATCTTACTTCCCCCACACCCCAGAAGCCATTGTAGTTCAGGGAAAGGGATAGAGGAGAAATTTAATTCCATTTCACATTTAAAGGCAAACTTACCAAATTCGCCCTCTCCAAACCAAGCTGTGAACTGAGGCACAGCTATTATTTAAAATTGGTGCTTCTTTGAATTTTGCAGTGCTGTTGTCCAACCAAGTAATGTGAACAAAAATGCATATATTTGAGTATATTAGAGAAAGCAGTATATTAATGAAAGTAACGTACAAAAATGCATTATATTGTGGGAAATGGATCTGGGGGGAAATTGCATATAAGGTCAAACACAAAGATGTGTTTATTAGGATAAATTCACATTAAAATGCTGATGAATTTTCAGGAGGATTTTTTTTATTAAAAAAAAGAAAGAAACATTGCAAACTGATGTGGAAATCTGGAGAACTTAAGATTGAAAAAAGGAGAAGCCAAGAGAAACCCAAATGGTCAGGTCTGTCTATCTGTATGGGTGGTTGGGTGTTTTCAACAACCATCCAAAGCAAGGCTTAGCAACCACCCTTCCAAGTGACCATCAAAAGTCATCAACTTTGTGGAGCAATACCTGGATAGAACTAACGTTTATATAGTTCAGTTAAACTGTGGCATTCCAATGAAAGATGGAATCCTATGAAAATGCCCAGCCAACATGTCCGGAATTTAGTCTCCCACCACCCCAGCAGCATCCCAAAAGGCTGCTGTCCACAAGGGAGAAGTTCAGAAGACCAAAAAGACACTCTAGCAGATGCACTCTAGCAGATGGCTCCCCAGGCTGTGCTTGTAGACCTCCATTGAGGGAGAACCCATCACCCCTCTAGGCAATTTGTTCCATTGTCTTAGCTACTCTTGCCACCAAGAGTACTCTTGCTACTCTTCTTCTTTGTCTTAGCTACTCTTGCTTCTTTGTCTTAGCTACTCTTGCTTCATTGTCTTAGCTACTCTTGCCACCAAGAGTACTACTCTTGCTACTCTTGCTTCTCCTAATGTTCAATCCAGAGGTGCATCCAGGTATTTGCTTGAACATGCACAGAAGCCCAACCGCAAAGCCCTGTCCCTGTGTGCATTGTGCCTCCAAGCTGAGCAGCATGGGTCTGCCAGGAGCTTCTGCGCATGTTGACTTGAATGCAAGTTGACCACCTCATGCAATCAAGGATCCTGTTTTATCAGGGCCCCCAATCAAGCAGGGTCCCATTCATGTCAAAGCGAATGTGAGTGTAAGGTCCCTGAAGAGCTACCCTACTCAATACGGGGAAGGTTAGAGTCTGAGTGCATTGGGCAGCACACATAGGGAGCGTTGTGGGCAGATGGTCCTATCCACAGAAACAAGGTTTCTACAAACCTGTCTCAAAATGTAACCACCTGTAACCTGACCACATTAAATCTCTCCCCCCCCCTGCCCCCAGTATGGATGAAAGGCAGAATCACTTTCCATTCTGCCCTGTATACATCACAGGCAGTGGTTCAGCTTCCAACATAACCTATGTTGTTTGTCTTGCGGTCCACCATAGCAAAATTTCACGTAATTAATTACAGCATTAATTAATTGTGCGATCATCCCATTATTCCACGCTATTCATTTCAGTGTGAATGAAACACAATGCAAACGGGCCAGAGGGAGTCATCAGTTATGAATCATTATGGATCATTTCCAGAATGAGCAAACACCGATTGTGTTTCCTGTTCCAGATGACTAAGTGAACTCTGGCAATTCCCCCCACCCCCTTCCATTGGAATTCTCTGACATCCCTACCTCAGGGGCAGCAAAAAGAAAGTCTTTGCCCACTGGCATGTGACCTCCCATCAGGTACTTGAAGAGTGGTATTAACCACCACCACCACGCCACCCCAAGTATTGATTTCTTCAGACTAATCTGGTGTCATTTGCCTTGTTTTTTTATTATTTATTTATTTATTTATTTATTTATTTATTTATTTATAAATAGCTCCATTGCATGGCCCATCACCTTTAAGAGGACACAAAGCAAAAAGAGTAATCAGTGATTTAGTTCATTAACACACTGGGGTACCACCAATCCTCCACAAACGGAACTTTTAAAAAAACAAAACTAATTTGTTTTTGCTTTTGAAAGAACCCGTCAAAGTAGGTGAAAATTTGGTAACATTAAAAAAAAAAAACCACCCAAAGCTAATATGACTGTTTTATAACTGTTTCATTACAAAATGGTGGTTATATTCATGAAATATACTTGTTATATTCATGAAATATACTCGGGAGTCGAGAGTGGATTTCATGCTCTTTATTCAGCTCATAGTGGTGAGGAGAAATGGAAGTTCCCCCACAATATCTGCTTTATATACATTATTTACACAATGGGCTGCACGTGATTGGCTAATTCTGGGATTCTCCTGTAGGCCAATCAGGTTACGGATTCACTTCCACCTGCAGCTGGATTGGGTGGCTCCTGCGGACCAATCATACTGCTGCATTGTTCTAGGACCAATCAGACTGCTGCATTCTGGATCCTATTGTTCTAGGACCAATCAGACTGCTGCATTTTGGATCCTATTCAACTCAGTACATAACAATTCAGTATATTTGCCATGTTCAAACTTGATTTCTCCTGAAGTTAAAAAAAAAAGTTTTGTTAATTAGACATGCAAACTGATGTTATACCATAAGAATATGTTATACTCATTTGGCTGAACATCCTTTTCTCTCACTGGGGGCAAACAGTTGCCTGTGGAAAACCTGCAGACAGGACCTGAATGCAATAGCACTCCTGAAGTGTATTGAGTTTTAAAAATTAAAAAAAGAAATGTGAATTTCTCCCTAAATATGAGTGCATAATGGACAAGCTCTGAAGCTTTGACAACTATCAAATTCAGCCTTATTGTTCAAATACTAAAAGTGGATGGAGTTTCACTGGGGAAAGAGTGAAACAAATACAGTGGTACCTCAGGTTAAGTACTTAATTCGTTCTGGAGGTCTGTTCTTAACCTGAAACTGTTCTTAACCTGAAGCACCACTTTATAATAATAATAATAATAATTTATTATTTGTACCCCGCCCATCTGGCTGGGTTTCCCCAGCCACTCTGGTTGGCTTCCATTGAAACCAAAACCATAGAAACCGCTGCCGCCGCGCCGTCGGAGCACGATTTCTGTTCTCATCCTGAAGCAAAGTTCTTAGCCCGAGGTAATATTTCTGGGTTAGTGGAGTCTGTAACCTGAAGTGTATGTAACCCGAGGTACCACTGTAGTAACTATGGGATGGTCTGAAACATCACGGCCCCAATCCAGTTTTCCATATTTACAGCAGTTGAGTTGAGCACCCACCATTTACAGCACAAGCACACGGTTTCCTCTGCCAGCAAGGCAGTCTCAGTCCTCTAGTTTTTATTGGCAAGAGCTTGGGAAAACACTGCCGTTTGTTCTTAGAAGTAGCTGCTGCTCTCTAGACTCCCCGAGTGTCTGCTGGGGTTTAAGAGCAAAGTCAATTGTGCAAGTGTGCCATCTGCTGGTCAAAATCATGTATTTCCAGACTGCTCTGTATTTTTATTAAATAATCTGGGCCTCCACCAAATTTTGGGGGGGTTCATTTTTTAACAATGAAAGGCGCCATTTGCGGGTGTGCGTGCGATGTGAAATACGCTTTGAAAGAGCAGCACTTCCCAAAGGTGGAAAGTCGCCTTTTACTGTGAAATCAAAATGTTCCACTCTCTTGATAATGCATTTGCCCAGAGAGGAGGAGGGATTGCAATAAGCATTCTGTATGAACGCTTTAAAAAGAAACCATTCACAGTCTCCCTTTGCTGGACAAGCAGCCAAGGAAACACACTGGGGACAGAGCTGTGGATTGCATCCTTTAAAGCAGGGGTCAGCAAACTTTCTGAGCAGGGGGCCGGTCCACTGTCCCTCAGACCTTGTGGGGGGCCGGACTGTATGGGGGGTGAGAACGAATTCCTATGCCCCACAAATAACCCAAGGATGCATTTTAAATAAAAGCACACATTCTACTCATGTAAAAACACCAGGCAGGCCCCACAAATAACCCAGAGATGCATTTTAAATAAAAGGACACATTCTACTCATGTAAAAACACGTTGATTCCTGGACCATCTGCGGGCCGGATTTAGAAGGCGATTGGGCTGGATCCGGCCCCCGGGCCTTAGTTCACCTATCCATTCTTGAAAGTGACAAAAGCCACTTCGAAGTAGACAGTCCTCAGCAAAATTCTCCCCTGTGTAATGTTAAGGAATGCAGTCTGCGTCTTATGTATTCCTGACCACCAGAGTCTGGAGTGGTTCCAATCCAGGTTTTATGCAAAGTTCGGGAACGCTAGACACCAGTCACTGGGCAAATGAGAACGTGGGGAGGAATTCAACACTGGGCTAAGGCAATCAGCTTGCCAGATGAAATGATCACACACACCCCGTGCCACTCTGTGGGTTCTCTTGACACATACAATCCCTGGGTCAATTTTTAGGGTTGCACAGAGGAAGATGAAGGAGAGTGGAAGTCCTTGCACAGGGCATTTGCTGATAAAACTCGTTCATTGAATATTGGCCACAGATTTCTAGCAGCCTTTTCTCACATCTAATGTGAGGTTGAGTTTGTTCTTATAAAGGTGTGTTGGTCTCCATCCTTTAAGCGAAGAGTACACCCTAAACCTCCTCTCCCCAGCCCAGCCCACCCAGTAACTGACATTTTACAGAATCAAATCATTGGTCCATCTAACTCAGTATCGTCTACATGGACAGACAGATTTCCCAATCCTACATTGAGGAATAATAATAATAATAATAATAATAATAATAATAATAATAAATTATTCATACCCCGCCCATCTGGCTGGGTTTCCCCAGCCACTCTGGGCAGCTTCCAACAAAAGATTAAAAAACAATAATTCATCAAATATTAAAAACTTCCCTAAACAGGGTTGCCTCCAGATGTCTTCTAAAAGAAGAAGAAGAAGAAGAAGAAGAAGAGGAGGAGGAGGAGTTTGGATTTGATATCCCGCTTTATCACTACCCGAAGGAGTTTCAAAGTGGCTAACAATCTCCTTTCCCTTACTCCTCCACAACAAACACTCTGTGAGGTGATTGAGGCTGAGAGACTTCAGAGAAGTGTGACTAGCCCAAGGTCACCCAGAGGTTGCATGTGGAGGAGCGGGGAAGCGAACCCGGTTCACCAGATTACAAGTCCACTGCTCTTAACCACTACCCTACACTGGCTCTCAAGTCAGAATAACTTCCCTAATTATTTATTGTTATCATTCTTCGTGTTGTTGTTATCATCACCATCCTTCTTAATTTATTAATCTCCTTCTACACAACCATCTCAAGGCGATGTACAATAAAAATAGAAAAAAGGTGAAAATACACACAAATTGGATACATTCAAAATAAAGTTAAAAACCATACAAGATAGACACTCATGGCAAAGCCCCCATTTTTTCAGCTAGGAAAGTTTATTGGGCCAAGAACGTCTTCAGCTGTTCCTGAAAAGTGCACATAGTGAGTGGGTCCCTGTCATATCTTAACAGGGATGCTATTCCACAAAACAGAGGCAGCAACACTAAAAGCCCTATTCTGAATTACTGTGGAATGTGTTTCTGAGATTCTTGGAACTTGCAGCAGAAACTTTCCACAGACTGCAGGGATCTACTGGGTGTATAAAGGATAAGATGGTGTCTTAAGCAACCTGATTCTGAGCTGTATAGCCATTGATTAACTTATCTCCACATTCTGGTGGAGACAAAAGATAAAAAGAAGGCAATGCCATTAACAGGTCAGAAAAAAGAGGATGGGTGCCTTTTTCACCATTTTCAACCTTACCAGAGCTTTTGTCCCTCCCATTTCAGAGGCCGTGACTTTCATTCCTCCCATCTTTCCTGGGCCCATTCATGAATCAGAAGGACAGGGCGTCATTGTCAGTGTCAAAATATTATTCAGCTGCCACTATCAGGAGCTGGAGTCAGGAGCCGGTCAGCAATAAAACACTTGGTGTCAGCGAAGTCAACTCTTCATTCAAAGAAACCAAAAAACCGCAGGCCTAGCAATCACAGCAACTCTTCCCAGGAGGTCTTGCCCCAATAAGGCAATTGTGAGGACTGAAGGTCCCCGTCTTCCCACTGCTCTCTAAGGCTTCTCTACCGGTTCCTTTCCCAGCAACCTGAGGCTCCTTTGCCTTGTCTCTCTTTGCTCTGCCCTCTTCATTCCTCCTGGTGTTTTAGGAGACTAGGGGGGAGGGGAGCTGGTCACAGCAGGAGCGGGAGACTCCCTGGCTTCTTCAGCAGCCTGCCTCCACTCTGCCTCGTGACCCCTCTTCCTCTCCAGCTTGCACTTTGTCCTCTGATTCCGCACTGCTCTCTGCCACAGCTTCCTTTTGCTCCCTAAAACCTGTTGCCTCTTCAGCTTCTGACACCTCCTCCCCTGCCACCGTCTGCTCCCTCTTCTCTCTCTGACGACTTGTCGTCATCCCACCAACAATCCCTGGGCTCTGAGCCATCTTCCCCTGGGGGGTCCCCTTGGTGCCTCCAACCACTTCTCAGCATCCAGCCAGTCCATGGCACTTACATGAATTGGGTGAAAGAGTTTTGTCCTTCACCTTGAGCAGTGCAATGTCTTGGGACGGTCATACTGCAGAACAGCAGCAAGAGATGGCCATTATCCTCCTGTCCTGCTTGTGGGCTTCCTTTAGCTATCTGGTTGGCCACTGCGGGAAACAGGATGCAGGGTCAGATGGGCATGTGGTCTGATCCTCTTCCCACATTCTTATGACTGAACCTGGTTCTTATGAGCAAACGTGGTCTACATGCAAAGCTGGCATTCCACCACTGAGCTGTGACCCCCCCACCCATTGCCAAGAGCTTGGTGGGAGAGGGAGAAGAATCGGGATGGATAACTTTTCAAATGGCAATTGCCACTTCGAAGGATGCAAAGATTCACTTGCTCATGAACTGCAGGAAAGGCTTCTGAAATGAGGGGCCTCTCACTGACAAACTTCATGAAACGAGGAACCCTCCATCTCAGTACTGCTAGACTAGAAGCTGCCTAGCTACTCCAACTTCGCCTGCTTCAAGGTTTAAAAAGTTAATAGATTCATACTTCTTTTCAAAATGCATTAGGCATATAAAAGGATGGATTCAGTCCTTATTAGGAGCACTCTGTCCTGAAACTTTACCTTCCAAACATATTGAGGTAGTGATTGCTGTATTCCATTGTTGCTGTTCTTTAATACTTGAATGTGAAGCATCATCGAGAAGTTGAATAAACACCATTAGCTACACTTCCATGCCAATTTCAGTCAAGGCTACAAATTGGTGAAAACCTTCTATTTTGCATACAGTAGCCTAGGGACCTGACTTATACTGGGACAGAGCATCAGTCCACCAATCTCAGAGTCTACACCGATTGGCAGTGGTTGTCCAGGAATTCTGGTTTCAATCCCTGGTATCTCCAGATACCAGATATCTCCAGATATCTCCAGATACCAGGGATTGAGACCAGAACTTTCTGTATGCAAAGCAGATATTTTACTATTGAACTACAACCCTTCCCCACTCATAAGGGAAGATAGAGGGCCTTCTCAATAGTGGTTCCATCCACATGAAATTCTCTCACCTGCAAGGCACATCAAGTATTGCATACTATGACATGTCAGTTCTGCAGCCAATGATTTGCACCCAAAAAATGCACATGCTCTGGTAATGTGTTCATATAAATGCATCTGTTTTTGGAAAAGAACATACAGAAATGCACTATATCGGTGGAAATTGCTTCACATTTATGTGCATATTAGGCTCAATGTGTATAGTAAGTGAAATTCACACAAAAATCCTGACAAATTGTCACACCATTGAAAAAAACAAAAAGCCAACAGATATAGAAATGTAGAAAACTGAAGACCGGAGAAATGAGAAACTGAGAGAAACCAAAATGGACCCTACTCCTTAGACAAATGCAGTACAATATACACAGGCCTGCCTTTGTTCGCAAACTTCGGTTTGTTTAAAGCACAGGTGGAAGATCTTTGATCCCGAGTTTAAACATCTTCACCTTAAAGCTCTGCTTAAGGTCTGGGGTTCCAAAGAATGCTTGCTTTCACACACCTCTGTCTGTGCACTGATATCGTCACAAAAGGTGCTCTTCCGAGGGGCCCTGCTATGAGAAGTGATTTGGGTACAGGTCCTTTTCTATGGTGGCCACCCACTCCTGGAATTCTCTCACCTGTGAGACTCATCTACTTTTCATTTATATGCTAGGCAAATGCCTTTATTATTTTCTCAGTTTTTAAATTGTTTTTGGAGCTTGCTATTGCTCCTAGTTTTATTAACAATGTTATATATAGGTGGTACCCAACTTAGTCATACTTAGTCATATTTCTTCTTCTTTGAATAAACCAATTTGATAAAATTGTTCTCTGCAAATATTGACATGGAGTCTTTGACAACAATTTGCAGCATTTGACATGCAGTACTGTATGTGAGACAACTTCCAGTGTTCAACCTATGACATTTGGCATGCAATATTTGTTAAATGACAGCAATTGATGTTTTGTCAGTCAACAGCATTTGACATGTGACTTCTAATATTTTACTGGTTAAATAATAGTCCAGTGCTTCTCCAGATTCATCCACTCTTACACACAGAGAGGTGTGTATACAATGGAACTGCCATACTACCATTCTCATGCTTGACCAGCATCCACCATCCTACTTGCAATACCTTAGAGGTTCTTCACATAAAATTCACCACAAAGAAAAAGTCAGTATGTTGGTGTCTGTTGGAGCTCCTCTCTCAGACTGCTTCTGGCTCTGCCCCCCTCCAATATGAGCATCCAATTAAGGTGAAGGTTGGAAGAGTCAGACAGACAAAATAAAGTGCTTCAGACTTAGTTAAACTACAGCATTTGCTCCCGCAATATGAAGCACTGGCCACCAACTGGGATGGCTTTTGAAAGCAGATTAGACAAGCTCATCGAGGGAAAAGGCCATCAGTGGCTACTAGTCATGACAGTTGTATTAAACCTCCGGTGATAGAGGGATTACATCTCTGAATGCCATTTTCTAGCGGTCATGAGTGATGACAGTGTTGCTGCACTCAGGTCCTCAGGCTTCGCATAAGCAGCTGGGTGGTCAGTGTGGGTATATTTGGCTTCATTTTGTATATTGGTTATATACATTGGGTATATTTGGCTTCATTTTGTTCACAGTGGCCTGCTTCAGGCTTTATGTTGGTTGGATGAAATAGTTGGTTTGATTTAATCAATTTGTGCTTATTATTATTGTACAGCAAATTATTGTAACATTGTATATGCTTTCAATTGATTTGTCAGATTTTGTACTTAGGGATGAGAAAGCAGTTTGATGCAGCTTGCAGTTAAAGGTGACCCTACCTAATTAATACACATGTTCCAAAACGATATGTGAACCTGACTGACTCTAGCTACAAAAGCTGAGGCTGCATGACAGACTTTTGGCCTGGGGTTTTGTTTAGGGTGTTTTGTTGCGGTTATTGATATCAATATTTTATATCTTTATTTTTATATGTTATGATTTGTGTGAAAACGCTTCAATTTTCTTTTGTACTTTTTGATGTCTTTTATTTATTGTTTATGAGAACTTTTGTTAAGTTTGTAATTATGCAAATCTTTTCATGCTGTAAGCCGCCTCGAATTATGGAAGCTGGCAGACAAATAAAATGACGATGACGAAAATAGCACAAAGATGCATTATATTTAGAGAAATTGCTTTGCAAAATGTGTATATTAGCAAAATTGCATAGTAAATTTGTGCATATTAGAAGAAATCTGTGCTAAAATGCTGGTGAATTTTTATGACTTCTAAAAAAAAAAAAAGCAAACTGATGTGGATATATGGAGAACTGGACTTAAGACAGGAAAAATGCGAAAGTGAAAGATTTGCCCATCCCTGATTTGACATCCCAGTGAGAAAGGTGGAAATGAAACATAATACAAAGCATAAAGGCACTGATAACATGATCCTAAGCATGCTCACTCCTAAGTAAGTCCTGTTTAGTTCAATGAGACATGTCTCTCCCCCCCCCCCCCGTAAGTATGCTTAGGATTGCAGCCTAACTAAACAAATCAATAGTTGTTTTGCAATGTAAGCCGTCAGCACGTTAGTGTACCAGGTGGCTTGAAGTGACCGATAATCATTGTCTTTTCTTGTAGCATCTGGCTCCGTCTCCCAGGTTGACACATTCTTTCAGCAGCAAATCAAGCATAATAATAATAAAAAAATGAATAAAATCCCCAAGGGTGAAAATGCTTCAAAAATCTTGAAAATCATACCTACTTTTGTTTGTAATGTGTGAAATTATTACAAGTATGTTCACCAGGAAGACTATTGATGGATGACTCACAATTTAGCTAAATTCAATAAGCTACACACTGTGCGTAACCCAGTGGGCGAGCCATACATTTTATATTTCAAGTATCGAGTGTTTGCCAAAAACAGTATTTTTAAAAAGTGGGAAAGGAGCTCATGAATAGGATAAGACTACCCACAGGCAGCTCCTACTTCTCCTCTGGCCACTTACATGGGATTTCGTGGTACTGCTGGAGCATTTGAGGAGAAAAGAGTGCTTACCACAGCAACCCTGCTACACCAGTGCTTTCCCAGAGGCTTTGTGCTGCCTTTAAGTATACACGCCCAGTACTTAATGGAAACCTTTAAAAGACTTGTGCTTCAAGGCCAAAATGCACAACAAACATTTCCTCCCAACGGGGTCACTCTTTAACTGTTCTTAAAGGTAGTCTCCATGCCATCGCCATGCATTAACAGCACTTCTCTCAAGCAAAATGTTAATGATGTGAAAGGGCCACAAAACTACAGTAAGAGAGTGAAAGAGGCGGAAGATCATCCTCTAGGATGTGGGCTCTTTTGAGAGAGGTGTGACAAAGGTGGCTGAATGAAAAGCAGCCCCAATATTAGAGAGTACCTTCATAACACAATTCAAAATTCTCTCCTGACTGTAGAAAGTTCCTTTGGAAGGGATAATTGAAGGAGGGGAAAGTGCCCAGCATTGATGCCATCATCTTGAGAACATGCCCCACTCTTTAAGTTGCGATGGCAGCATAAAAATGATGCAGAGAACCAGGAGTGAGGCGTATGGAATAGCATAGCCACAGGGCACATAGCCACAGCAGAAACCAGTTATTTCAAATAAATTCTTAGCCATCTTGGAGTAGAAAATTAATAATAATAATAATAATAATAATAATAATAATAATAATAATGTATACCTCTCCCATCTGGCTGGGTTTCGCCAGCCACTCTGGGCGGCTCCCAACAGAATATTAAAAACACGATAAAACATCAAACATTAAAAATTCCCTAAACAGGGCTGCCTTCAGATGTCTTCTAAAAGTCAGATAGTTGTTTATTTCCTTGACATCTGATGGGAGTACACAATAGATAAAGCTGAATAAATAAAACAGGTAATGGTCACAGCATCAAAGCCCAATTCTGTTTTTCAGATGTATGTGGGACCGTGTTCCTCATTTCTTATCCCTCCAGATATTGTGATCCAGTTTCTAGAGCTAAGCTTGCCTAAGGAGTGGCACTGTTGCTGCTTCTGACACTGCTGTAGCAATGCTTGTTCCCTTTTCATCTCTGGGAAGGACAGTTGGGCTATATATGAGCGTTCGTAGTTTTGAAGGGTGCAGCCTAGTCATAGCATTGAACAAGCCTTTGGGCTTCCCAGGAGCTCTGGCCAATGTGTGCCAGTCAAATGAACCACTTGATCCTACGTCTTTGTTTCTTTGTTTTTGCAGGAATATAATCCAGTTTTAAGCATACACGTCAGTATCTGGTACTACTAAAACTAAAGCCAACCTATATCTACACATTGGCCAATTAGTCTTCTGTAGTGATGGGGAGGAATTTGATTCAGTTTGCATTTAAAGGTGAATCGATCAATTCACAGTTTGTGAAACACAGCCATCTTTCAAAAATCTGCACTTATCTGAATTTTGCAATACAGTCCTCCAACCAACCAATGTTTCCCAAAAAGTCATATATTAGGGGAACGTGTGCATAAAAGTGAAGAAATTGGTGAAAATAACATTTAAAACATACATAAATTATATAAGGGAAAATTGCTTGCAAAAAAAACTGCATTAAAAAAAAATCTGATTGTTAGGAGCCATTCACACCAAAATTGACAGATGCTCCCATCCCTAATTTTGTTCGTCTGAATTTGTCAGCCTTTAAGGTGCCACAGGACTCTTAGGTTTGTTTGTTTTTGCTCCATTGCTTACAAGCAAAAATTATAGCTGCGGATAAAAACAGCAGCCATTCTCCCTTAATTTCAGCATGTTCCCTAGCAGCCAATTTGAGTGAAACAGCACCAATTCGAGTCAAGTAGTTAGACTTGCACATCACTATTTTAATATGCAGCCAACACAGTTGGGAAAAACAGTCGATGTGTTTGTGCAATAATCTTCTGAAGATTAAGGAATAGGAAGACTTATTTGGCCATTCACCTTAATCATACAACGGCTTGTCCTAATGTTAATGTTATTTCCAAAGAACTGCACTGCCTTGTTACCTGGGCATCATGTTAGAAATAGTGTTTATCATCACAGCTCAATATTTGTCAAGGGGGTGGTTGATTTAATAATATCCAGCACAAGAGTACTCCAAGGTATCCATTAGTTTGATTGAATGCTGTATTTGTGTAAGCAAGCCAAGCATTCAGCACTTTGGCAAAAGTCACTTGGAAAGGGAGAGATTCAATGCATGAATGTTTCACTAGTTAGTGAATTTCCATTGAAACTTTAATGGAAATGCTTGTAAATATACTCCCCCAAACCCACATTGTGTGCCATTTCCCAAAACAGGGATGGGTGTAAAGCTGCTGTTTAGCCAGGAAAGGCGGGGGGGGGGGGGGATCGATTAGCCAGATCATTTAACATACTAAAACAATTATGGCATAATTATAAGGAACATAATTATATACTCTTGATGCCTTTAATTGTGTCATCCTCACTAACTAACATTAAAAACTCAATCAAAACAAATTAAGCATTAAAATTTAAATCAGAAGTTAATGGAAAAAACGGTTTTTCAAAATGAAATAATTATAACTCTGAATTCCACCTGTTAACAGGAAACCTACTTAACTTGGTTTCTTTTTCCTTTGTTTTTCTGCAGTCTCATACAGGTGAACGATCTCCCAGTGAGAATGTTAAGCAAGTTAAATAAATAAAAAATCAAAGTCACACATTCTTTCCTGTCCCATGCACTTTTTATACTTCTATGAACTTGTGGAGACATTTCTTTCAATCTCCTTTTCTAATCCAATAGATATGGCAAGGAGGTCCCTCCTATGTCTGATCAGAAAAACCATGTGAAATTTGAGCATTAGCACTGCTAGCTTTTCAGAAGAAGAAGAGTTTGGATTTGATATCCCGACTTTCACTCCCTTTAAGGAGTCTCAAAGCGGCTAACATTCTCCTTTCCCTTCCTCCCCCACAACAAACACTCTGTGAGGTGAGTGGGGCTGAGAGACTTCAAAGAAGTGTGACTGGCCCAAGGTCACCCAGCAGCTGCATGTGGAGGAGCGGGGAAGCGAACCCGGTTCCCCAGATTAGGAGACTACCGCCCTTAACCACTACACCACACTGGCTCTCAGCCCCAACTGTGAAGGTTCTCCTCCTCTCCTATTGTTATCAAGAGCAATTCCAGCCTCTGCACAAAGCTGTGGTCACGGGGCCCTACCAGAGCCCTTCTGCCTCTGCGGGAGGGGGGCAATTCCAGGCAGGCAAGCCAACTCTAGGGACTGAGGTGTCTTTGGTCCCCTGAATATTTGTTGGAAGGGGACTGGGCTCCCTCACTGTTGAGCGGGCCTGGCGCCCATCACGTGTGTGGAACATTTCGCAAGTAGCAGTTTCAGTGGGTGGCTCCTCCAGAGCCCGCAGCCCCCTTTAGACGATGCAATGGCGTGCGTCCATCTCACGCATGACACGCGTGGCACCAGGGGCGTAGCTAGCTGCTCCAGCACCTGGAGTGGCAGGGGCGGGGTGAGTTGCCCACAGGGGCAGGGGGGTGAGCCGCACATGGGGGGTGGCGCAGAGATCTGCCCACGGAGTCCGCCTGGCAGGCACAAGCCCCGCGCTGCCGTTTCGGGCAGCACAGGGCCCCGAGACACGTGGCTCAGGCGTACTGCAGGCCAGGCCCCACAGTAATGCCGCCATTTTGTCACCCCCTCAGGGATGACACCCGGGGCAGACCGCACACCCCGCACACCTCCCTCCCTATGCCCCCGCGTGGCATGCAGCACACACGACATCACACGCCACACACGCGTGACACACGCTGAACCCTTTCAATCTTAGGGGCAACCTCGCACCTCTGGTTCCAGAGGTTCCTGGCTTTATGTGATTTTGCCTATATGCATGATGGCCAGGAACCTAACCCCCATTAACATGCACGTTACCTGTACTGTAAAGTTTGCAACCTCCAATGATTTCTGCCCCCCAACCCATGTTTCATTTGGTGTGTTATGTAGCTTTGGTTTTCTTTTTGCCTACTCTCGAGTTCTTGAAAGGAAATGGGCTGGGCAGCGATGCAAATGAAGAAGCTACGATAATTATTTGGGCCAGATTCTCTGCAGCCATGCCCATGCCTTACTCACTTTCAGTGAATAAGCTGGAGATATCTTTGTTTCCTTGAAATTGTTGTTATTGTTGCTGCTGCTGCTGCTGCTGCTGTCGTTTTGAGCCAGGCTAAAACAGCATTGTCCCTGGAAGTATCCAAATGCCTGGATGTGAAATAAATGCATACCATTATACTTCTCTTTTTACCTCACGCTCACGGATGGAAGCGACCTGTCGCCGGTTGTGGAGGCAGGAATCTTGCCTGGCTGCTGAAGGTCAAAATTAAGTCAAAACGGGAGGAGGCGGGAGAAAGGGGGAGGGCAAGTATAAATAAATAAATAAACAAACCCATTTCACTGTGAAAGGAGTGATTACCAGGCTGCTGATTACGAGTGGGCAAATGACGCGTAGAGTCACAAAGGTACAGTAGCTGTGGCAATTGTGGGGAATTAACTGGGGTGCTTTGGTGCACTCTTTGGAACAGGAAAGACTCGCAGAATGGCTTGCAGCGATGTGAAAATTATTGCCATCCTTTTTGCAGGAGCACTTTACTTGATTTCCTTCCCTTTCCCCTCCCCACCAAAGGAAGCTGCCGAGCCATCAGGTGAATTCACCATTTATTACCTACCTGCCAAACAGATGTGGCAAGTAGGCAGGCTGTGAAGAAACGGTCAAAAGGACAAAACTGCTCTTTTTTGATGATGTGAGGAATACACCTTTCCCTCCTGGCGTTTTGATGTTAAAAATTGTGTTTCTATTGCCAGCCCTCTTTTACAGAAACATTTTTTAAAAAAATATATAAAATGGAGTGGATTTGGAAGGAATACCGCAATATGCTTTTGGAAGAAAATATTTAGACCAAAGAAACATTCCACATTTCCCTTAGAAAAATAAAAGCTTTTAAAGGCCATTTGGAAGCCTACAAATAACTCATGCAACTCCTTGTAAAAAGCTTTTAGAATTGTTAAAGCTCGAACCCCAGTCACTCCTTCCAACTCGGGTATTCAAGAAGAAATTCAGTCAGCTGTGGTCTCCAGAAAATAACTTCTTACATAAATTTATTCCCAGTAGATTGACATCTTCAGCGGCTTTACAGCCAATTGTTAGATTAAATGGCAAGAAAAACAAATCTGGCAAAGTGGGCTGCAGCAAACTAAAACTCATGGCAAAAAATATTAGCCTTTCAGAGGCCAGAGAGCTCTCCAATGTTTTTCATACACTGGACTAACACAGCTACCCTTTGGGATGCAAACTAGGAACATATGAGTCCTGCAGGATCATACCACACACCTCCCTAGCTCAGTGACCTATTTCAGACTGGACAAGATAAAGTATTTCTTCCCACAGCAAATAGTTAAACTATGAAATTTGCTTCCACAAGAGGCAGTTATTGCCACCAACATAGATGGCTTTAAAATAAGGTAAAGGTAAAGGGACCCCTGACCATTAGGTCCAGTCATGACCGACACTGGGGTTGCGGCGCTCATCTCTCTTTATTGGCCGAGGGAGCCGGCATACAGCTTCCGGGTCATGTGGCCAGCATGACTAACCCGCTTCTGGCGAACCAGAGCAGCGCACGGAAACACTGTTTAGCTTTCCGGCGGAGCGGTACCTATTTAACTACTTGCACTTTGACGTGCTTTCGAACTGCTAGGTGGGCAGGAGCAGGGACCGAGCAACGGGAGCTCACCCCGTCACGGGGATTCGAACCTCCAACCTTCTGATCAGCAAGTCCTAGGCTCTGTGGTTTAACCCACAGCACCACTCGCGTCCCGGCTTTAAAATAAGATTAGACAAATTCATGCCCTCCTAGCGATGCAGCAATAAAACTGCTAGCATATTTGCAAAGCCAAACAGGGTCCGGTATGGTTTCAAATTGGATGGAGGACCACATGTTGAGATTCTTGCGTTACATGGGATTGCAATATTATTTTTAAAAATTGGGAAACGATATACAATGAACTGAAAAAAATGTTTAAAATAACATTTGTTAAAAAACCAGAAGTTTTTTTGTTAGGTATTTTAGGACAAGAGCTGCTGAAAGAAAAATGAACATTATTTATGTATGCTACAATAGCAGCAAGAATTCTAATAGCACAAAACTGGAAGACTGGAGAAGTATCATCTAAAGAACAATGGCAAGAAAAACGGATGAACTACGCAGAATTAGCAAAGTTAATGGACAAACTGTGAGAAAAGGACAATGGGACTTTGAAAAAGAATGGGAACCTTTTACAATATATTTTCAGGGGGGGGACATGGACTCGCTGGCAGGATTTAAATAAACATTTACAACTTTATTTACATAAAACAAGAAATATAACAATATGATAACATAGTATTATATACAAACAGCAGAATGTATCATTTGATGTAATAAACCAGAAATGGAAGCTGAGGGAAGTCAACGGGGAGGGGGTGAATTGAAAAATGAATGTTTAGTATTGATATTGGAAATTTGTTTTGAAAATGTAAAATCAATAAAAAAAATTAACAACAACAAAAAGGAGATTCCTGCATTACAGGAAGTTAGACTAGCTGACCCTTGTGGTCCCTCCCACCTTTTCAGATTCTATGGAGGATAAGGCTATCAATGACTATATAGCAATAACAGCTATATTCGACTTCCATAGTCAGGGCAATATGCTTCTCAATACCACTGGAAACTGCAAGAGAGGAAACTGCTCTTGTGTGCATGTCCTGCTTGCCGGACTCCCAGGGGCATCTGGTTGGCCAGCATGAGAATAGGGAAATGGACTGGTGTACCTCCCAAGTGCCCTGGGAAAAGGGGAAATCCCATTTTTTCACATGAGATCTTGGTAGCCATTTTGGGTGCCGCAATCTCTCATGCTCTTACGCTGCACCCCGAAAAGCGTTTTTTCAGGGCGAGAGCAAGGTGCAGGTCATGTGACTCACCCAGGAGCATTTCCTAGAAGATGTGCGTCCCAATTTGGGACTTGAAAATGTTGGATGTTCTGGACTAGATGGGCCACTGGCATGATCCAGCAGAGCTTTTCTTATGGCCTTCATACAAAAACATGAAGTTAATACAGTGGTACCTCGGGTTAAATACTTAATTCTTTCCGGAGGCCCGTTCATAACCTGAAACTTTCATTAACCGTTCATTAACCTGAAGCACCACTTTAGCTAATGGGGCCTCCTGCTGCCGCCGCGCCTCCAGAGCCCGATTTCTGTTCTTATCCTGAAGCAAAGTTGTTAACCTGAAGCACTATTTCTGGGTTAGCAGAGTCTGTAACCTGAAGCGTATGTAACCCGAGGTACCACTGTAAATCAGATCTTCATTCCTTGTCCAAATGAAGTGGAAAGTCTGCAATATGAAGGCGCTGCTAGCAGGCCAAGAGTGGGAAGTGCTCTTGTGCTCAAGCCCTGCTTGTGCATTTCCCACTTGCATATGGTCGGCCACTGTGAGAACAGGATGCTGGACTAGATGGGTCACTGGCCTCATCCGGCAGCTCTTTTTTCATATTAAAGTTTCAATAATTTAACATCCAAATTAATTACTTATTCATCCCTCCTAGACTTCCCCCCACCCCCTGGTTTCCAATTTCTCCCCTTTGTCACCATACACAATTCATTCAGTTACAAGTCCATTGATAACCCTAATTCACAATACTTCATAGATGCTACATCAGTCCTGCTCAGGCTTTTAAGTCTTTACAGTGGACCTTAAAATATTCTATAAATTTGATCCAGTCTTGTATAAACTTTTTTTCATCTTGGTCCCAGATTTTCACAGTTATCTTTACCATTTCGGCATAGTCTATCATCTTAGCTATCCATTCCTCCTCCGTTGGTACTTTCTCTTCTTCCCATTTCTGGGCAAGTGACATCCTGGTGGCTGTAGTTGCATATATAAATAGTCTTTTAACATTTCTCGGTATGCGTTCACCTGTTATTCCTAATAAAAAGGCCACTGATTTTTTAACAAAGGTTATCTTCAACATTTTCTTCAATTCATTATAAATCATTTCCCAGATCCAGCAGCTCTTATGGAGGTGCACGCAAGTCCCCTATGCCATGTAATGGCCCCGTGTGTTGAGTATCTGTGTGTTTGCGGGGGCTGAGGGACAACGGGGCTCTGCTATTTGCAGAGGGGTTCCCTGCACGAATGGCTCTGTGCCCACTCACCATACGGGAGCCTGCTAGTTGTACAAACATGACTGGCTATTTTTCATGCTAAATGGGTGTGTGTGTGTGGATATTTTCTTTAATATATTTTTCAGTCTGTGAACACGTTGACTGCCAGAAACTGTCTCCGAGGTCACCATTTTTACATGCATTTCGACACAATCAACGTGCAATAAAACATATTTTGCTTTGGAAAACTAACATAATAATTCAGTGGATCTGAAAAAAGACTTTTAAAATCTCTGAATCCGTACTCTCAATATTGATGCATGCCACTTAATGAATAATACATTTTATCATCCTGCATCAAGGCTTTACGGGAACCAGGTACTTAGGTAAGCGGAAAAGCAGATTCGGAACTTATACAAGCACCTTATGTAATGCTGTCAATGGCGACTAGCTACAATGGCTATATGCTGCCTTCACAGTTGGAGGCTGTATCCTTCTCAGTTCCTGGAAATGACTCAGGTCCTGCTTGCAGGCTTCCCATGGACAACTAGTTGTCTGGATGCTCCTTGTCTGATCCAGCAAGACTTTCTTTAAGCTCCCCAGCAGAGACCTGGATGCACTCCTCCATCTCTCTAAATATTTTTGCGCTTGATGTTACAAAGTAATTTGATTGATGTTATACAAGTCTTGCAAGTCTGTGCTAATACTCAAGCCCAGATATTTTGCTTTAGAGCAGAGTCTTATTTGTTAACCAGTTAGCATCCTGAATTTTATCAAAACCTCAAGATTTAGAGGAAGCACTTCAATTTTGTAACACTGACTTTGCACCCAGCTACTTTTGCATATTTCTGCAGGAACTTTTCTAATTCCTCCATTCGTCAAAAAAACTGCCATATCATCAGCACACATACTTTTAGTTCTGTTTGTCCTATGTGAAATCTTATTCTGCTATCTGGTGCTTTCTGCCAAAAGCTCTAAGGACTGTCTAAACCATGGGTAGGTAACCTAAGGCCCGGGGGCCAGATCAGGCTCAATCGCCTTCTAAATCCGGCCCACAGACAGTCCAGGAATCAGCATGTTTTTACATGAGTAGAATGTGCCCTTTTATTTAAAATGCATCTCTGGGTTATTTGTGGGGCCTGCCTGGTGTTTTTACATGAGTAGAATGTGTGCTTTTATTTAAAATGAAACTCTGGGTTATTTGTGAGGCATAGGAATTTGTTCATTCCATGCCCCCATTATAGTCCGGCCCACCACATGGTCTGAGGGACAGTGGACCAGTCCCATGCTGAAAAAGTTTGCTGACCCCTGGTGTAAACAATACTTCTGGCAAGGCCACGCTTGTCTTGCACCCCTCAGCAAATGAAAAGCTGGGAAACTTGATGTTTGGCATTTAGGCATGAGACTTGTAAGTAATATTGACCCATTCACAGAAGTTAGTCCCAAAGCAATAACATGGCATACAGTCCTTTAAGAGGGGCCATTTTAACCTGTCAGACACCTTCTCAGTGTCCAAAAACACACACAGTTTACAGTTATTTTTTCTGTTGTAATCTGCTATGTCCATCAGTGTTCCTAGATTTACCTTTAAAAAAACTGGCTTGAACTTTGTGGATATTATTTAATGCACATTGAATCCATATTAATAGGAATTACTTTATTTACTCTGTTCATTAGAACTGCCATAAAGATTTTATAGTCAAAATTCAATAAGTGTCTGTATGGTGCTACATCTCCTTGGTCTTTTCCTTTAGTTTATATATTTATATTATAATTATAAATCAAATTATTTCCCCAATTCTTGAGGTATATGGTTTAGAGTACATACTTCATTTAGAGCTGCTGTTATTGCGTCTTGGATAATATTTATAAATTACTTATTGTACTCTGTGATAAAACCATCTGATCCCGGTGGCTCTCCTATCTTTAATTATTTGATGGTCTGCTGCATTTTAGTACAACTTGCACTTTGGTCCAGCCATAACTTATCTATTTCATTTAAGGTTTGAATTTCAGTTTATGCTACATATTCTTTAATGTCCTTCCCCTCCGGATTTTGTGTTTTATAGGGGTTTTTCTTTTAGTACTCTATGAATTAAATTTACTATTTCCTTACTATCAGTTATTCTCGATCTATCTAGCCAAAGTGGATGGAACAATGTATGTAAATTTTACCTTTGTACAGTATGCTAATTTCTACATCTACTCATGCATCCTTCTCTATTCTCTACCCGGGCAAGCAAGAGGCATTATCAGAATTCAAGGACACATTCCAGCTGGGCAAAAACACTCCAGGAAAATGAGAAGCAGAGCTAGCGAGGAGTGTGACAGGGAGAGAGGCGGTGTGCTTAGGGATGAGATGTGGCCTGAAGAAAGTCACCAGTGCCAAAGAGAAAGTTCTGGAAGGACACATTTCCCCCCTGGGCCTGAGGTTCCCCACCCCAGAGCTACCAAAGGATAAGCCATGAGTGGAGAGGAGTTGTTGGCACTGTTCTCCTCCCCAGACACACATAAACCTGCCCATCCCATTTGCTTTAAGCATTGGGATGGGCACTCCTTGCAGCAGAAGCAATTGAGCTGGAGCTGAACCCCATTATTATTATTATTATTATTATTATTATTATACCCTGCCCTTCCCCAGCCACTCTGGGCGGCTTCCAGCAAAATATAAAAAATAATAACATGTCAAACATTTAAAACTTCCTGCTCACCAAATGTTGATGAAGTTCTTCTATCATAAATACTGTATAAGCAATAAAGCAGAAAGCAAATAGCAGAAAATAATGAGAGGGTCATCTTATACAGTTGCAGAAGATACAGAAGGTCAAAGGATGTTTCTTAAGTGCAACAGAGGCCACAAACAGGATACAGCTCCAAGCTGTTCAGTCCTAAGTAACATCGGTGTTCAGTAAGCTTGTAACTTGCACACATTCAACTTTACACACTTGGCAAAATATAAAAAAATAAAAGGGGGGCAGACGTCCCGGGGAAAAAGACTTTGGCAATCCCACCTGCCGTTGCGCCAAATATGTTTCGACTATGTGATTTTGGTGGGATCCCTGGAATATAACCCCCACATAAGCTGAGAGATACCTGCATTGACATCACAACCAAATAGGTCTTATTTATAGAGAAGAATAGAATATTATGCTGCATTTATAATACAGCTGCTGGCTGATCATTCATTTGTTAATGGTTAGGAGACAGTGTCTGGATAGCAGCAGAGATTCTCTCTGTGTTTTTTGAATGAGATACCCAACAAAGGAAAGCGAGAGCGAGAGAGCACACACAGAAACAGCAGCCTGGAAGTTGGAATGGGCAGAGAAAGAGAGTTGGCAATTCTGACTAGAGTTAGCTGAAAGCGGGAGTGCCCACACAGACCCTCACACAGTCCCAGACAGCAGGCCATTTTCTTCCACCTGTAGTCAGACTGTTACTATTTTTCAGGAGGCATTCAACTGCATACCAGCAAATTTAGGTATGTACAACATATATCCGATGCTGTACACAACTTCCATGCAAAGAAACGAATGCGCAGTAAACAGTGGACATTGCATAACTTCTGCACAGGCTTTGTGCAATCAAATCAGGACGAATGCTCAACATACAGGAAGCGATTAAAGGTTTGGTAAGTAGCATGACAAATATCAGGGGGTCGTGGCAAGATGGCAGTAAATACAATTGTACTATGCCCTTTTTGGCACAGAAAATTATGTAGCCTATTTAGCTCTGGTGTGTTCTTAGAAACCTGCAGAAGCCAAGGCCAGGAAAGCTGAGCTTTTTCCTAAATGTGCAATTTGGTACTTTGAATCAGTTTTTCATTTGATGCTGGGCTAATGAACCTGTAACGCTTTAATCTCTACTGCTCTGTCCATTTCCGAACATGTGCCATAAGCTATGTATTTTTGTCTTCTAGGTTGTTAACAACTGTTACAAAAATATTATTGTCAGGCAATCCTTTATTCTTTGCATTAATCCCATCCCCTGTAATATCAAGGAGTGTATTGTCTGCAGAGCAATCATAAATCAGTGGTGCCATAAACTATTTTATTGCATTTTAACCTCTTTGAGCTTTTTTAAGTTTAAGATGGTGGGAGTTTTCCATCCTCATCTCTTTCTAGTTCTTTCCAAGCAAGCGAGAATAAGGAATCACTCGGATTTGCTATCACTGAACTGTAGCATCACAGAACTTTAAAAACATTAAACATGTTAATTTAATTAAAACAAAATTGTTTGCATTAGTCAGTGTTAGCTTTCTTAAACCTCTGTCTGTTGGCAACACCCAGACAGGATAATTGGCTACCCCATACATGCACAGCCATAGGGAAGCATAATTTAGTGGGAGGGAATATCCTAGACAAATGTCTACTCCGTGGTTTATGAGGGCATGCAATGCTATCCACAGCTAAACCCCTGAAAACTGGGAGATTGACAAAGGGGCCCAAAACGTGAGGAGTATTCATTAAAAGATGCAAATAGCCAGAATCTGTGCTGTTTTGTTTCAGTCTCCTTTATCCGGTTGAAAACAGGAAAGCCTTCTGTCATGCAGACTCAGAGCTTCTCAGGGCCCAATAAAGGTTGGTGGCATTTTCAATCTATGTTTGTTTTCCTTCTTCTAATCACACATCCCAAATCTGCCACAAAACTCCACAACCTTTTACAAGTGTAATAACTAACTTGTATCACCCCATGACTTTTTTCAACCAATTTTTGTAAAAGCTTAGAAAACAGTGTGCATAACACAGATGGCTTACAAATATATCCCATATATTGTAGAGATGATTTTCTATGTGAGTAATCTTAAGAACTAAAAAAAAAATCCCATACATATTTGCAGATTGTATCTACTAACCTAACAATATCTGCTGATTTAGTAAAACACACCTCTGCTTCATGTATCACAGTGAGCAAGACGAAAACTCCAGTGAGAATATGTGGGGTTTGAAGAAGTGGCGGCCAGCTTTCCCTTTCCCATGTGAGGATGGGAAAGTACTAACTAACAGAAGAAACTCAGTAAGAGCTGAGAAGAAAGGCTACCACAAGTGGGAGCTGTAGCTACCATCTCATGCTGGTAAGCCAACTGTAGTGAGCTTCTATGGAAGGTCATTTTGGAATAATGATCCCACCCCCGCCCAACTTGTATACTATCATTTTATTTCTGTGTTAGCCATTATTGTGTCTCCCGCTTCATTTTAAGCTGTTCGGTTAGGTTAGCTTATTTGTGTATTGCTTTATATAATGTTGTGGATTTATTTTCTGTATTTATGGACATTAGGGTTATTTTTAATTCTTATTTTTTTTAAAAAAATGTTATATTTACTGTTCATTTTATATGTTGTGAAAAAATTGGGCACAATTTTCTACAAAAAGTGGCATGCAAATAAAGAGATTAAGAAGAGGAATGGGACCTTATACCAAACAGACTATTTCTCTATCTAGCCCTATATTGTTGTCACCTCCTGTTGTCACCAAAGGTTTGTTACTTGGGGCCCTTCTGAGCCCACTGCTGCACATACAATATTTAAGAAGAAGGAGAAGAAGAATTTGGATTTGATATCCTGCCTTTCACTCCCTTTAAGGAGTCTCAAAGCAGCTAACATTCTCCTTTCCCTTCCTCCCCCACAACAAACACTCTGTGAGGTGAGTGGGGCTGAGAGACTTCAAAGAAGTGTGACTAGGCCAAGGTCACCCAGCAGCTGCATGTGGAGGAGCGGGGAAGCGAACCCGGTTCCCCAGATTAGGAGACTACCGCCCTTAACCACTACACCACACTGGCTTTAGGTTAAACTAAGAACAGCTGTTCATTAGGAAGGTCCAATTTCACACTAATGTACTTTCAGTCTGTGAATGGCACCCATCTCTTCCCTAAGGCCATCAGTCTCTTGCCTAATCATTGTCCTGAAACCTCTTTGCTTTTTCTGTGTCTGTCCACGGTTTGAGAGTAGAATCAGGTAAGCCAACTGAGTTGAGACAATATCTTGTTGCTGCCTGTCATTCTGGAATAACATCAAGTATCTATTGTTATCATATGTAGTGATCCCCTTCGAAACTCTGTGGTGCAGCTCATGCAAACCTAGCAAAAGACCTCTAGGGTGGCTGTCACTAGGACCACATTACACCAGCGCTGCGAGATCCTGCAGCACTGCTCAAGAAGGTCCCCACCCCACCAGAATCTCCCAACATTTCTTTATTCATGTATAGCTTCAAGTAATGTATTTAAGCCATGAACAGTAAAAATCAATACATGAAATACAAGTTAAACACAAAATAGCTTAAAATACAGATCACGCATTCTAATTACAATATATACAAATGCTCCACATGCCCCATTGTGTTCCATTTAACCCACTGATTGAACTTCACGATATAACGGTATACATCTAGACATTCTCACAGTAGACTCCTGACCTCATACCCATTCTGTGTTGGGATTATTATTTCTAGCTCTCTGCTTCGGGAAAGGCTGTTCTGGAGCTGCGCCACCTCCTCTTTCAGAGCAAGGGGGCACTGTCCTTGGCTGCTGTGGTGAATTCTCCTCCTCCCTCCCACCGTTGGCCCAAGAGGCCACTGGGGCAGCCACACCCATGTTTAGAGACTTTATTTTGGTTAAGAAGACGAGTGAAACACACTGAGAAGGTATAGCAACGTTTGAACTCCACCAGGTGACCTGTTTATTCAGTATTTACACTGATGTCCTTCTGCAAGTGAAAGTTCTTCTGCAGAATGCTTTTCTTCTAGAAAAAAAAGGTTCCAGTACTGCGTACCCTTGAGTACCCCCAGAAAAAAGGCACCCCTTTGAGAGAATGAGACAAAAATATTGTTATTTACTTATTTATTTCATTACACATCTATATCTATATATCTCTATAGATAGATAGATGACTGATAGATAGATGACTGATAGATAGATAGATGATAGATAGATAGATAGATAGATAGATAGATAGATAGATGATAGATAGATAGATGATAGATAGATAGATAGATGATAGATAGATGATAGATAGATAGATAGATAGATAGATAGATAGATAGATAGATATTCCCCTTAAAAAACAAAGAAAACAAAAAGGGGGGTAAACAAGAAAGGAAAAAAAAAGAAAAATAGCAATAGCAATAGCAATAGGAATAACAGTAAGGTGAAATAAGAAAGGACAGCCTGTTCTTAAACAAGGCCCTCCATGCCAGCTGAGACCCAGGACCAATCGGTTGGAAGACAGATGGTCCAAGTTACCCCAAACAAACACCTATACAGTCGTACCTTTGGTTATGAACTTAATTCGTTCCGGAGGTCCATTCTTAAGCTGAAACCGTTCTTATCCTGAGCCGTGCTTTTCCTAATGGGGCTTCCCGCTGCGTGCACGCCTCCAGCACGCAATTCCCATTCGCATCCTGGGGCAAAGTTCGCAACCAAGAACAGCTACTTCCAGGTTAGCAGAGCTTGTAACCTGAAGCGTTCGTAACTAGAGGTACCACTGTATAGGCTACTTTCTGTAATCTTTCCCCCACTCTTTAGTTCAAATCTAACTCTAATCCACCTATTCCCCCACCCATCACACTTTATGTCAATGCAACACAATAGGTTTGATAGACACAGTGAGAGACACAGGACAACCCAGACAGGCTGGCAGGGAATTAACCTATAAAGTAGACAAACAGAATGGCTAGTTTAAAAGCAATTAAACTAAACATGAGGGGGTTGGGAAACCGCAGCAAAAGAAACCGCATCACCTCGTATGTAAACACCATGAAATCACACATTGCCTTCCTACAAGAAACACACAATCTACCTGATAGTAAGAGCTGTTCGACAGTGGAATTTGCTGCCAAGGAGTGTGGTGGAGTCTCCTTCTTTGGAGGTCTTTAAGCAGAGGCTTGACAACCATATGTCAGGAGTGCTCTGATGGTGTTTCCTGCTTGGCAGGGGGTTGGACTCGATGGCCCTTGTGGTCTCTTCCAACTCTATGATTCTATGATTCTATGATTCTACCCAAAGGAAGCAAACTCCTGAGCGAACCCCACTTCAGTCAACAATGGGTTGCACCTGGCTCAAGAAAGGCCCAAAGAGTAGCTATGATATTCAGTAGAGACCTGAATTTCAAAGCCATAACAGTGTGAAAAGACAAGAGGGAGATACAATTTTGCTAAAGGGATGCTAGATGACAAAACTAAACTGACCATTGGTTCCATATATGCTCCAAACTCAAAACAACTAGAGTTCATCCAGAAAACACTCATTAAATTCCTCTCCTTCTCCAAAGGGGAAGCAATCTTGGGAAATGATCTCAGCCTAAACATGAGAGGCACTGTGACGTTAACATATATGAGAGAGTGCTGGAGGGGAAATAGTTAAATAGGTTACACAGACAGGACCCAGGGGGGTGGAGTCAGTGGGACTATAAAACCCGTTCTGGGAGGAGTTCGTTGGGAGTTGTTGGTGGGTTTTAGTGGGTTGGCTGTTTGGGAAAGGCAGTTGGTAACAGAGAGACAGGGCAGTGGGTTTTTGAGTGTGGGGAGGTAAAAGAGATAGAGAGAGGAAAATAAGACTAAGAAAGTAAAGAGCAACAACATTTGGAATGCCGTAAAAGTTTGTTTGTGTCTGAAATAAAATACACTCTTCTTTATTATTTGAGAACCTGACCGAGACTGAAGTGATTTTACCAGGGAGGACCTGGTTGGTGGCAGCGGATTAGTGGTGTACGAGACGACCGGGGGCTCCATATGAACGCCACAGGCACAACCGGGGGCTCCATACGAATGCCACAGAAACCCACCCTACAATCCCATGGGCAACTTTCCTCTGAAGGAAACCCCAAACAATTAGGTACTCTTATAAATCATTAAAAATGCTTTAAAAAACATACGGTGTGAAGAAAACCCAAGAGACACCAGCCACACATTACAATCCAGGCACCACAGCATATTGTCCAGACTCGACAGCATTCTGCTCCCACAAGGCCTGATCCCCCTGGTTGAATCAATGAACATAGGTAACATTAAAATCACAGACCATGCCCCAGTAGAAGCTACTCTTAAAATAGGAGAAGAAACATGAACCACCCCATCATGGTTCTTCAGTCCCATCCTAACCACAAATAAACTAATTAGAGAGAGTCTCACAAAAACTCTCCAAAACCATTTCAAAGAAAATGATGTAGACAATATAACAACCCCCTCCTTTGGGACACCATGAAAGCTGTCACCAGGGGAGCTTGCGTAAAAGAGAAAGCACAGCTTAAAAAACAAACCTCCTCAAAAATTAGCAAAATAGAACAAGACACCATGGCCCTCTCATCACACTACAAACAAACAGGAGCCAAAAGACTCCTTAAATTTATAGAACAAAAAAGGAGGGAACTCAACTCACTAGAAATCAACAAAACAATGATCAACATCCTATACGCAAAACAGCGCTTCTACGAGTATGGAGGGAAAAACTCCAGACTATTAGCAAACAGGTGTAGGAAAAAACCCACTCAAAACAAGAATTCAATGCATCACCAAAAAAACCAAGCAACATAACATTCTCCTCCAAAGAAATAACCTCAGAATTTGCAGAATTGTATTCCAACCTATACACCTAGAGATGGGGAGGCCTGGGAAAAAACTGGAAATCCCCCCCCCATTTTTTACCAAAGCTTTTTTGGGGGGACTGGGGGGTAGTTTGATATAGTTTGAATATTCCACACACTTTTTTTTTTCAATTTTCCAGGGGGGTGGCTTTGGGGGGAAATGAAAAAAACCTGTTTTTTTAAAAAAAAGAATTCTGGGTTTTTCCCAGGCCTTTCCATCTCTATATACACCTCACCGAAATTCTGGAGAGGCTGCACCTCCACAGGCCCATACCTCCACATGTGGTGGGAATGTCCCAGAATCCAACTCTTCTGGACATCAGTCATACAAGAAATATGCAAATTAACTAAGCAGGTATTAGAAGTCACCCTACTCAATAAGAATGCCCAAAATAACAATGCCCACTCACATTATAAGGAGCTCATAACCCACCTACTCTCAGCAGCCAGAAGCATCATAGTCAGGCACTGGAGAGACCTGTCAGGAGTAAACATGGACCTATGGTATCAAACAGTATGGGAAACAGCCTTACTAGAAAAGCTAACCAATAAACTGAAACTGACATGGGGACAAATAGAAGAAGACGCCTTCACTCCGGTACGGGTCCTCTTAATCACAAACACAGCCCAACAAGACAACAACAAGAATCCACCGACAGCAAATGAGTCAATATGGCTAACCTGATCCAAAAATCCACCCTCTCACACACATAAACAAATCTCACTACAGCCAATCAAAGGCAACCAACCAAACCCTAGGCCACTCGCAACTTCTCTCATCACCAAGGAAATATAACAAGTGAACAGAAAGAGAACCCACACAAGTGACGCTGACACAAAACCCCACACATACACTAAGTAGAAGAATAGAAGCATTCAGAGCAAAGTCATTTCCAAAGGATGGCTATGCTTTGGGTCTCATACTGCTTCAGTAAGTGCAAATTAGATAGCTTCTCCTTTAAAAGCACACCGAGAATCAAATTTCCTCCTCATCCGCAAGCACTATTAACAGAATTGTGCATATATGTCAGTAGTCAACAGTGTTTATCAGGGCTGTAGCTTTTCCCTTAGGTCATTTGCACCACTTGGAGATTCCTTGAAGACACACACAGACCTGACAGCCTCAGCTGTTCTCACGCCAGAAATGAAGAGTGAGCAATTTCCCATCTGTGTTCTATCCCTACTGTTTAAAAATTCAAATAGCAGAGAGGAGGAAACGAACCAAAATATGCTTCTTAGGAATTTCAAATTTGCCATTGACATTTGGAGGTTTCCCTTCAGCTCAGGCATAGGCAAACTCAGCCCTCAAAATGTTTTGGGACTACAACTCCCATCACCCCTAGCTAACAGGACCAGTGGTCAGGGATGATGGGAATTGTAGTCTCAAAACATCTGGAGGGCCAAGTTTGCCTATGCCTGCTCCAGCTATTCCCTTGTCATACACCAACCTGTCTTTAGCACTGGTGATCTGCTTTCAGCCACTTCTGATGGATACTCCACTAGCCAGAGTTCTTCACTAACTCCATTCCTGTAAGCTTCACATGTCTTTTCCCTTTTGTACACAGTGGTACCTCTAGTTACAAACGCCTCAGGTTACAAACGCTTCAGGTTACAAACTCTGCTAACCTGGAAGAGTTACCTCAAGTTGAGAACTTTGCACCTGGATGAGAACGGAAATTGTGTGCCGGTGGCGTAGTGGCAGCAAAAGGCCCCATTAGTGAAAGCACGCCTCTAGTTAAGAACAGTTTCAGGTTAAGAACAGACCTCCAGAACGAATTAAGTTTGTAACTAGAGGTATCACTGTATTCTGTTTGCATCACTTTGCCTCCAAAAGGTTCACTTCCTGGTATCTCTAGGTGGGTCTGAAAAAAGTCCCTTGCCTGAAGTCCTAGAGAGCTGTTGCCACTTTCTATTGAGAATTCATCCTCATCCTCCAGTCTAAAGCAACCTCCCCGAGTCTGCTGTCTTCCAGATGTTTTGGACTACAACATCCATCAGCCCCAGTCAGCATGGCCAAAGGGCAGGGATGATGGGAGTTGTAGTCCAGCAAGTTCTGGAAGGCATCAGGTTGGGAAAGTCTGCAGTATAGGGACAGTACTGAACTAGACGGATTAATGGCCTGAATGTAACCATACACCTAATGATATGTATTGTATTACACTACCTACTCAGTCCTGAGCTTGTAGCTAAAGAGAATATTGCATTGGGTTAAGGCAAGGTAGGGGCAGGTGGGTTCACTGACTTTAAAACCCAATCAAAAGTTTCACTTTACTTATGTTGTCACCCTAGCACATCACCCGTTTCATTACTGCATCTAATTTGGTTGATATCACAACATTATTACATTGATCACTGTTTCAACTTAGCCTAATTTAATTGATAGAATTCTGTGTCCTTGCTATTATAAGAGACAATTAGCTCTCATTAGTTTACATTTCACTCATTTTCTGCTGACTGATTGCACTACATACTGATACTTGCTAATATCAATATGCAATGCAATCAGTCAGAGGGAAATGTTGGTACAGTATCTCTACAAACTATCACACTTATCATTCTGATTGTCTGCAAAGTACCAATATTTGCCTACAATTTAATAGTTTCATAATGCAATATTTGGTATTAATAATCATCATCTGAAGGTCACATCCTTAATCACATTTGCACTGAGCAAAAATTAACTAATGAAGATTACAACGTATTAATAAATTGCAGATGGTACCTCTCTATTTTCCAACATAACCATCAAATAACAGAAATGGGAGCTGTGATCTGACTTAAAGACTTTTTTGCTTCCCTCTTCCTATTTATTCAGTCTTCATTCTGGGTTCTAAGTGCTTTTTTTTTTTTTAATCCTTTTGTTAAGGTCCTGCAGTAACCATATGGAGAGCTTTAGCAGAGCAAGAACATGCAGCTGATGCTTTGTATTAGAGGTGAAGAGGTGACTTGAATTGTGCTACTGTTAATTTGCCCTTTAAGCAGCTACAGCAGGGAGTCTATAATGGCAAGAAGCCGTGCAAGGAGATTTGCCTATCAGATTATTATGTCAGAAATGCTAAAGATTGAAGGCAATGGAAGGGCAAATAGCTTTTGGTAACCAATTTAACATAATCCACTGAGCTTTCAAGGACACCCATTTGTAAATATGTTGTAAGTTTACTCAGATAAAATGCATTCATACCTACATTTCTCCACAGTATTTTTATGCCAGTGAAGACAAGATGCTTTTGGTCCTTCATTGCGTGTGTGTGTGTGTCTCTGTCTGTCTGTCTGTCTCTGTGTTTAATGATGCTGTTAACTCCTCTGCCATGCCAGAGACTATTTAAAGAACCGTCATGGCAAAATACACCCCAGTTGTATTGTTTTTAGCAGTCCGTCCCACAACGACAAACATATTTCTCTCAACCCTCACAGCTGGTTTCCTGAAAAACCATAGAAGAGAAACATTTAGTATTGGGAACATGAAATAAATAGATGTCGGTTTGAGACTGAAACACGCAGATTCAAAATAAGCACACACACACACACACACACACCCCAAAAGTACAAATTAGGTTTGTGAC